TGATACGGTTAATATGCGGACTGCGGAAGCACCGCATCTCCAAGAAACACTCTACATCGCAGCACATTGGAAGCAATGGCCGCAACGGTGACAGTATTGCGCCAGCCTCTGGTCCTCCTCCCTGCCACAAGGCCATTATCACAAGGTACGCTTCTGCTTTGCATCGAATTCTAAAATCCTCGTACTAATTATACTTTAGCATCCGTTAGCTTCTCAAAGTATCTCGCCCGACAACGGTCGACCCCTCCGACGAACATCTCATCGCGATACTTCTCAACAGCCAGAAGCATGAAGTCCGACTCGACTGCAAAGCTATCCTACCACGTTGCTGCATCTTTTACCGCGAAAGACCATCCCTACGACCCATCAACGCACGTCTTTCACTTCAATCCCTACAACCGTATCCAGCAGAACCGTAGCAAACGCTCCAGACCAGACAGCGGACACGATGCCTTTTTCGTCAGTCGAGTCGGCGACTCTGGCGCAGTAGCCCTTGGTGTGGCTGATGGCGTCGGCGGCTGGGTAGATTCTGGTGTTGACCCGGCGGATTTCTCACACGGTTTCTGCGATTACATGGCTTCGACAGCCTACGGACACGGTTCAATCAAAGACGACCCGACCACAAAGGGCACGGGTGACAAGGAGCCGCTAAGAGCGCAAGATCTGATGCAAAAGGGATACCAGGCGATCAATGAGGACAGCACCGTCATTGCTGGTGGCAGTACAGCGTGTGTTGCTGTAGCATCCTCAGACGGCAACCTCGACATTGCCAACCTAGGCGACTCTGGCTTCATCCAGCTTCGATTGAACGCCGTACACACCTACTCTGAACCCCAAACGCATGCCTTCAACACGCCTTATCAGCTCTCTATCGTGCCTCCCAGCGTAGCCGCTCGGATGGCAGCTTTTGGTGGCCAGAACCTATGCGACTTTCCCAAAGACGCCGACGTCACTCGCCATGACCTCCGTCACGGCGATATCATCGTTTTCGCAACTGACGGTGTATGGGACAACCTGTTTAACCAGGACATCCTCCGTATTGTTAGCAATGTCATGACAACGACAGGCGCATGGCTCATGACGAAGAATGGTGTCCGCGTCGTCGACAATCTCAAGCCCTTTACAAAACCCGCTGAAGACGCCTCAGAGCGACCTTCCGCAAAGTTTCTTACCTTGCAGAGCGTGCTCGCGGCGGAAATCACGTCCGCCGCCAAGTCGGCGAGTCTAAACCGCAACGTTGACGGCCCCTTTGCCAAGGGAGTGCAGAAGTACTACCCGCAGGAGAACTGGCACGGCGGCAAGATCGACGATATTTGCGTTCTCGTCCTCATCGCGTCGGATGACTCCAAGGCCGCGGCCAAGAGTCGCCTTTAAGGCCGTCTTGTATCATTACCAACACTATTTGCCGTATCTGGAGCTCATTGCTGCTTTTTCCAGTTGCTCAGAAACACCCCCCCCCCCCCTAGAAGCCTCAAAAAGGAGCGCCACCGCTGCATTTGTCCGTTGTATCGTTAATTTTCGACCGTCGCCAATTTCTCATTCGGTGACGCAGCAATGTTGTACAAAGGATCCTGAGCAATGTCTTATTTTCTCATACACACGCAATGAAGAGACGTCGAGAAGTCAGCAGTCAGTCAGTCAGTTATAGCAGTATCAAAAAATACCACCCAAAATCGATGTCTGACCGTTTCATCGTACTCTACCTTAAAACCAATCTCTACTCGCCTCATTCCTTTGCATGTTTCTCTGCTTGGATTTATGCTTCTCCACCGATTAACCTACACGTTTTGGCTCATGCGATCGGCAGGAACGGTCGAACGAGAGGTCCAATCGTCTTCCCTTTCCCCCCTTGTTTTCCCTTCTCCTTTGTCCTTGCTATGAAGCGGGGCGAGGCGCTGGGAACTTGCCGATCGCAGCTGTGGCTCTGCCTAGGCGGGTTTCTTGTTGCTTTTCTACGGATAGAGTATCTTCCAATGGACGGAGCCCCTTTTTTTTCTTTGAACTCCACGTCAGCTCTGGAGTATGCACCCCTTTCTCCTGTTTTTCTCCACGTGGGGTTGGTCTGCTGTATGAACCACTGATCTGGGTCGAAGAAGATACAGGATGAAACAGCTTTATTCTCTGGGGAAACCCAATGGACTGTGCTTAAAAAAACGTACCTTACCTTACATTGTGGATGAAGGGTAGAAAAGACGACGAGTTTGGTGTGGACGGGCCCAGATCGATATTTTGTTGTTTGTCTTTGACAGTGTGACGATAACTCGTAGTACGAATGCATAATGTTACATGCCCCTCATGCCAGAGGCAGAGCACGTCCGCTTCCGAGTGGGATAGGCGCAGGTCGAGTGACACCACTTTGAGGTGCAGACGGAAATGTCACCTCACCGAGGACAAACGGTCATGCGATGCATGCAGCCTGAAGTGGTAATGTCCAGACGCGGGGTTGAGATGACCCAGGTCTCGCTATAGATTACAATCATAGGGAGCAGAAATAAAGATGTAGAAAGGCAACAGTGGATTGAGTTGCTAATTGATTGTTTATAGGCCCAAAGATTTCCGATAGGCCCCGACTAACACACAATGTTTACTTCATCATCCCCTGTCCTTCGAGAGCTTTTTGCAACTCGACCCGCTTGCTTCATCTGAAATGCAACTCCTGGTCCTGTTCGTTCTTGGATCGCATTACTGTATTATAAACCTTGGTTCGCATCATATACCAGTCATTGGGCTGAGACAGCCCGAACATCCTCTCTAGCCACCAGCTTACTGGAAGTAGAGCATGGCAGCGACGGTAAGGCCGATCAGGGCAATGGGAGAGCCCATGCGGACAGCGTCACTGCCGGGAACGGTGGTGGGAGAGCTGGTGGAAGAGGTGGAAGCGCTGGTGCCTATTCAACGGGTTAGTCAGGGTTCTTATGCCTCAAGTAGATGGCGACGTACGGGTGCTGGCGCGGGTGCTGGTAGAGACAGTGGAGGCAGCAGTGGAGTTAGCAGCAGAAGAGGCCGAGCTGCTCGCAGCGGAGGCGGAGGAAGCAGAGGCGGAGGAGGTGATGGTGGAAGCAGCGACAGTGGTGGTGACGGTGGCGGAAGCAGAGGCGGAGGCGGAGGCAGAAGCCGAGGAGACAGAAGCGGAAGCAGTGACGGAAGTGGTCAGGGTGAACTGCTCAGAGTAGTTGGGAGTGCCAGTAGAGTCAGAGATCTCAATGGCGTACTGGTCGGTGGGGAGAGTGGAGGAAGGAGTCCAGGAGAAGGAGGTACCACTCTGGCCAGCTGAGATAGAAGTCAGTATCAGATGGCATCTCACCAGGGCTCGGGATGTACTTACTGGCGATGGTGGAGACGGTCTTGAGGTCGGTGCTGGGGCCGTTCTTCAGGGTGAGAGTAACGGGGCCAGAAGCATCAGACCAGGTGATCTCGAAAGCCTGACCAGCCTGGACGTTGAAGTTGGTGTTGGTAAGCTGAACAGCCTGGGCCATGGCAGCGAAGCCGGCGACGAGGACGGAGGTGAAGCTCTTCATTGTGACGGATTGGGTTGTTTTTCGAAAATTAAGTGATGAACGAGTGTAGGAGTATTAGGTATCGGACTACTGTAATTTAGCAAAAAAGGTCAACAACGAATGTCGGGAATAGGCTCGTGAGGAAACAAAAGGGAGAGAGGCAGGCAACGATGTGAGGGGGGGACAGCTGGGTAGAAAAAGGCTTCCTCGTCTCGCGCAGGCGCGAAATTAGGCGAAGTCGAATCAGGGGTAGAGCATGGAAGGGGGGGCGTGTGCGGGTTCGGCGGAGAGGCAGGCAGGCATGCGACTTACATCAATACCTAGACGGGGCTTTTCCTATAATTACTCGCACGCGTTACTGTTGCTGGGGGTGTGCGGATGGATGGGTGGCTTTTGGGACAAAGTAGCACCAGAAGATCAGCAATTTGAATTCTGGGAGTGGTGTGGTTGTGATTCTTGGTTTTCTTCTTGTGCGCAGAGTGTTGGAGCCTTGGAGGAACTTATTTGTAGTGTGGACCGGGCAAGTTTGTTTGGATTGAGATGGTGATGGAATGGATGAAGAGTCAGGTGGGAAAAGATGGGTGCACTTGAGCTTAAGAGGAGGCAGGAGGTATCGAGGTTGAAACAGACAGGCGCGCGATCGAGCCTTCCTCTTTGCTATCTTCCAAAGTAGGTCCTCATGGCGACATCATAACAAGCACCCAACGCAGCAACAGCCGGGGACGAACAGCAACCGCGCGCACCTTGAGGCTTCTCGAGGGCGCCGCGGACGGCATCACGGCTCCCACTGGGTGCGCGGACTTACATACCTACCTTACCTTAGAGTAGGTACCTGACCTTGCTTGTAAGGTAGAGTACCACAGGTAGGTACCTTACCTTGGTCCTCACACTGGTGTGGTAAGCGTTTTAAGGGTGGTATGGTACCTTAGCAGCTGAGGAAGTCGCAGGCTATTCGTCGCAAACGAGGAAAGGAAGCGACGACGACGAGCGGGGGGCGGGTACCTTCCCACCTCTTCCAGCAGCCCTGGCAACAGGAGTGGCACTAACTCCCAGATTGGACTAACGTGGAAAATTCTTGGAGGGTACCCCTGTCGCAGAGAGGAACCTGGCAAACCCCAGGAGAAGCGCTAACAAAGACCAAGCTTCAGTTTCTTGTCCTTTGGTTGTTTTTGGTACTGGCTGATGTCCGGCCTGACTTCTTTCTGCTTCTCCCAGTGGCCTCCTCTTCTGCCGTAAAATGCCACGACTGCGTGCAGCAGCTTCAGCTTACTAGTGTTGGTGTTCCAGGTTAGCTGCAAGTTTTACCTTTGCTCGATTCACCATACATCCGCACGCCGTCGTCCGGTACTTTATATTCGACCTAAGGCAGGTCAGGTACCTAGCTAGCAACTCTAAGACGACCGTATGGTCTTCTTACACGTTACCTAAAGTAGATTTCCTCCAAGCTTACTCCAAGGCGATGTACGATTTCTCAACTACGTGCAACCACTGGGCAGACCCCCGATGCAGCCGTCAACTCCCCTGGTACTCCTAGCTTATGTCCCCGGAGTCGCCCAAGGCTCCTTATTGGGCCCTCTTGGCTGGGGCGATGGAAGGATCACGACCATCTCGGGCAACAGCAGGGAAGTTGGAAGAGGTCTGGGCCTCGACGGTTCTCGCCTGAGAGTCTGGGACTCTGTCCTGGGACCCAGGGCAGTCGCTGGCGTCAATTTGAACAATGCGCCCAGCAATGGCACAATCTTCCACATGCCATGCCATCTCGCTTCCCTGCTTTCCAGCCCACAGCAGGTGACACCACGTTGGAGCCCGCTTGAACGGCCCAAGGCGCGAAGAGACCCCAAAAACCCCTCGGCCGGTCACTGACTCTCTCACCATCGGATGGGTACATACGCAGTACAGGTCACACTAGGTACCCTTCATTGTACGTTCCGACAAGCGGTGGGTACATTCGTTCTGGTCCGGTAATGGGGAAAGGTTCCTGTCGATCTGGGTCTCTGGAGGCGCAGCAAGGGAGAGTGGTACGCAGTAGACGTCTCCATCTCGCACATTTCCAACGGCCGCCCTCCTCCGGAGCCCCTTCTTCGCATTGGAGTGATTCGCAGCGGACAACCATGGCGAGGGCCCTTTTCGCCCCCCATGGGAATGTGCGAATGCTTCTGCTGCTGCTGCTGCCGCTGACGCCCGGCTCAGCCTGCAATTGCGTGCGCAACCAACAGCATCCATCCCTCCACCCTCCCTTCCAGCTCGTGTTCCATTTCTCCACGGCAAAACTTTACTTTCCGCGGACCAGTCACGAGCCGCCTGCGATCCCATCATCGATCCGAGTAGGCAATGACAGCTCAAGGCTTCCCCACCACACTATTGGAGGTGACGACGCCTATGGATGCTTGATGCTCGTGAAGGTGGCCTTTACGAGTGGTATATCCGTCGAGAAAACCTATGCAGAATGCTCTGCGCTTGTACATTTGGAAGACTCGAAAATAGCATCGGCACTTACACACCTAGCCTTGATGTATTGGGACACTTACGTCGTCAATCGTCCGAGATCTGTGCTTCATCTGCAGAGTAACATGCCTGTACGTTCCGTTCCACGCCTTGTTGTGTTCGGGTGGGAGCACTGACGCGCGAGACAACAGATGAGCTGCGTTGACATACTCAAGCGTGTCAAGTTCCTTTTCCTTTGGTCCACCAAGACACTACTCTGGAAATCAAGCAATACTGGTGTCCGTCCCGTTTCGCAAGGACAGTCAGACGCACATCAATCTGGAATGGGACAGTCCTCTAATACCGACCAGGACAGCCTACTGTGTAGAAGAAGTCATGGCAGGCTACGGATCGCCTGATGAGGATCTACCGAGGGCCTCTGGGGAAAAGATTTCACTCGCGCCTTCACCCGCTTGATCCGTGCCGCAAGTTGCCATCCCGCCCCATCGGTCCAAAGTGCAAAGTCTCACGGAGGAGCCAGGAGCATGCACATATTGCGTATATTACCGTCCCATTTGTCGACGCGCCTCGCTGAGTCGCTGCATCCCATCAAATCATCGCGCCAAAGCGGCAATCTCGCTCTCTTTCGGGTGACCGGGGAGCCTCCTCCAGAACGATGAATAAGATGCAACGACGTCAGGCTCGCCGCTCGCCTATGCCAATGGCGTTTTCAGTTCCCAGTTCCCACTGAGTCCAATTTCCAATGCACACCCCGTTGGGTCCCGTTGTGGAGACCGACATTGGCCAAATCTCCCCAGCGTACGCTACTTCACGGCTTGCACGGTACCTGCATTCTGCGCAATGGTCCTTGCTTCTGGCCTCCAATCGACGGACTCGGACACTAACAGCTCTCGCCTGACGGCCCTGGCTCAGGACTCTCATTGAAACCCTGTCCATGCGTATGCGCCCTTCAGAGAGGCTCCACGCCCGACGACGGGAAGCCTGCAGCATCGACAGGGCATCGCCTGGTTCTGGCTATGTCGTCCGAACCCGTCAGCAAGTTTGCCAATTCCAAGTTGTCTACTCCGTATTTATCACGAAATGCAGCTCCCACAGAGCCATCGGCCCAAACCATCGGATACGGCAGCTCGCTGGATCCGGCAGCCTCTCAACCTCCGTTAGGAATACATGCAGGGGTCGCACCCTCGCTCTCTCCGTGATAGGCTTGGCTCTCTCCATGCTTTGCATATTATCCACCCAAGCCACTTACTCCGTACTTGGATCTCGCAGTAGGTAGGTAGCTCAATCCTCAACCAGCCGTGCGATGACACTTCATGGCCATGCCATGCTTGGTTCTTGGCTGAAATGGAACAAGCCTGCTCGCTCAGGGGGCGTTTCACTCTGATACTCGACTGGAATGGAAGGGCACCAGAACCACGGAGTTTTCCTCGGCTTGACTCAGATGACGTAAGTAGAACTTTCTGACGGCGATGGTGGGAATGCCGGCCTAGCAGCCATCAGTTCAGTTCAATACAATCATGCCGTTTCAGCTCATAGCTCGGTCAAAACATCAAATTCAGACTGGGGCGATGGATGTTCTGCAGCGCCACAGCCGCGTGCGTCAATCAATAGACGCGATACGTCTCGTTCGCTGAAAACGCTCACCAAGCCGTCAGTCTCGTAACTTGACCGAAGGAACAGTCTTCCATGAGAATCCACAGGCCCTTGAATGTTGAAAACCATGCCGCGAGCTGGATCGTCATAGTGTCTTGTGTTCCAAAAGGCTCGCAAACCCACATCCATGTGACTGGTTGTTATCTTACATCACCGCAAAGCCTCCTTTGCCTCAGCAGAAGACAACACTCGCGAACTCATGGCCATTGACCGATATGTATGCATATATGCTGTTGCGCCGGTCTATCAGTCGACACCATAGACCGGGATGAATGGCATGAATGGCCGTGGCGGTGGCAAACTCAGAAGAGAGGCCTCCTCTCCATGTGGTATGTAGTTTTGACTGGCATGTTGTCTATTCACGAGGCGAGCCCAGAGTGCATCGAACGACACCTCGCCGAACACCCTCAGCCTCCTCCCTGACTTGAGTTACCGTTGCTCCTCTTCCCCTAGCCTTATCCACAAAATCATCGAGTGAACCTCCAACGCCAAAGTAAAGCCGCTTCGCCCCAACCAGCGCCTGCGACTGGCAGTTGCTACGTTGGCTCTGTTCTCTATTGAGGATGGCAAGGACCATCTCGTTGAAAGCATCAAGTGCGAAGGGCGAGTAGATGGTTTCCGCTCCAATAAGAAGGGTATCGAAACTGCTGGACCCGTCCAGCTTGGACTGAGTCTCATAGAGAAGATCAACAAGCTCCACTGACCAGCCACCAGAAATGAAATTGAGAGAGATTTGGGAAGACGTCAGGAACTCCTTGAATTGCTGCAAGACCTCTGATGTGAGTTCGAGCTCGTCTCCCATCGCGAAGGCCTCCTCCAGGGCGGGGTTCTGGTCCCTGCGTTCCAGAGCCCAGGCGAGGATAAAGTTGGGCAACGTGACCAGTTGCAAGACTGTCGGGTTGTAGTCGGCCAGGGTCAGCAAAAGTGGCGATCTCGGCGCTGGATTCCTCATGGTCCATTGCAAAAGAGCGAGCGATGGAAGCCCTGTGCCGCATCCAAGCTGCGCATAGATCGGTTAGCTTTCGGTTCGCCACTTGAGCCAGCAGGACATGAAAACTAAAAATAAGAATAAAAACGCGCGTCAGGTGTTCAGATGCTCGTACCTCGATCACTCGGAGAGGCCGTTGCTTGAGCAGGTCCAAGTATTGGCCACTGGCGAGAACCTTGACGAGGTCCACGCTGCTCTCCCAGCTCTTGAAACCGCCCTCGTAGACGCCCGTCTTGACATCGTGGCTGCCGAGGCCTTCGGCATCGGCACCGTCACCGGCGGCCTCATCCTCGGCCATGAGCTGCACTCGCACGTCCCAGAGCTCGCGACGAGGGATCTTGATGAGGCTACCGTCGTCCAGGGTGACGTCCAGGGTCCCGAAGGCGACCTTTGAGGGCAGCTTGGAGAGCATGTCCTGCAGGTCGTGGGTGGTGGGCGGCAGCTGGGGTTTGCCGGGCACCGGAAAGGCACTGGCTGTTGCAGCGGACTGCGGGGTCTCGGGCTCCGGGGCGGGCGCGGAGGCCTCGGCGGCCGGGACAGGAACGGAGTCGTCCTCTATGTCATCGCCGCCGAATCCGAAGGAGAATGATGCCATATTTCTCTTCGAGGGTGGGAGAAGCCGCTTGGATTTGCAGGGTTTTTGTACGTACTTTTCTGCAAAAGATGGGTGAGTTGAGTACACACGAAAGAGACTATGAAAATGTGGGGGCGCGGGTTCACTCACAGAGTCACACACACAAACACAAAACGAAACGCAGTCTCTTATTGGAACCTCACCGAGGCAAGCTACCTTATCGGGTGTGTTTGTCGAATCGGAAAACCAACGACAACAGAGCTCTCACGCCACTCAAATAACTTGGTGGCTTGCAGATGTGAGAAGTCTTCTGAGGCAGTGAGTCGATTAAGCTTGAATCAAGCTTGCGCTGCTGGTACCTGTCTGTGGCATGAGTTGGTATAGTCAGGAAGTCAACTGCTTACTGCGTAGATTGGACTCACAACCAGTCCAAGGTTGGGTTCAAGCCGTCGCCGCCAGCAAATCTCGGCCAAAACAAAACGTCTTCCTGTTGCTCGCATGTCCAAGGCACCCGGAGAGTTACCAGCTACTAATTGGCCGAGTCGACCATCAAGCCAATCGTCATCGGTGGCCAAGACTTGGGATGCTTGCTTTTTGTTTGCCAGAAGTTCTTCCCTATCGGCGCTTTATCATTCGAAGACTCTTCTAATTCTGCACCAACGCCGCCCGCCGCATGTTTGGGCACTTGCTCGGTCGCAAAGAGACCAATAACCAGCAACTTCTCAGAGAGGCTCCATGCAGTGCGGTGACTAGGGAGGAGGCATCACAACTGAGCGACTGTCTCATATCTATGTGCCCGTACAGAGCCACGGAGCCTTCCCTTCGGCTTTCGGATCTCGTGCTTACCAGCCCAACACGCATGCCCTGCTGGCTTCTGCGAAGGCGAGGACGAGTTTGAAAGCTGCAACTTTAATAGGCTGAGTGGCGTTCGGGAAAATGATCCGCAGCTGAGCCTATTCCTCCCACGTCTCTGACCGCATCTGTCGCGCATGCTCTGCTCTGCCCTCTGCACTTGCGCTTCAAAGTAGATGGGGGGGAAAAAAGCCGCAAGCTCGAGAGCCAGCGGCCGTTCATGGCACATGACGAATCTGCAAGCCGTGGCCGCAGTGGTTCATGAGCTCAGCTGCAGATGCCTGCCAGACAGACACGCATCTCCGCATCCTAAAGTCCCGGAGGATCTGGTGCATCTCGAGCTTTGTGCTCCTTCAAATGAGATCTCGTGTCTCAGTGGTCAGCAAACGCGCGAGGATGCCGCCCCCCTCCCGTCATCCCACCATCTCTACCATGCGGCGCCGAACATGCTCACGGCCGATCGACGATGGACCCGGCACTCGCGATTCCTTCTCTCGGCGATCCACTCTATCAGGGCATCATGTATCCCCGTTCTTCGGTTTTTTTGTCAGCTGGGATGTCGCCAAGGGAAAAAATGAAGCTGAAAGAATGGTCGGCAGCCAAAGCATCCTCAACCTCAGGACCGCATTGTCTTTTGCCTCCAGGAAACGGCCGGGGTCAGACCCATACAATGGCATCTTCTCCATCTGTAGATACGCCTCGGTTTGCGCTCCATATCGCCCCCCGTCCGCGGCACTCACCACGATCCCGCTCCGGCTCCAAGCCTCCATCCTCCAGTGCGGCAAGAGTCGTGATTCGCCACTCACCGTACTTAGATCCATGCCATGAACACCCCTCAGCCCGGTTCTCCCCTCCTCCCGCCGTGGTTGGATGGTTTACGACCTGGTCCAGCCCAGGACCCTTTTCTTGCTAATCGGACCTTGCTTGACCGCAACGAGCTAGCAGACGTGCAGACAAACCATTTTGTTCAATTCTTCTGCCCATGGACCAGCCTTGTTCCAAAGTCGTTTGGATACGTGCAGCCACACCATGTGCCGTTGCACCAGCCAAGATTGATAAACTGCCCGTCGTAAATCGACCAACAATGAGGCCTGGTGCAGACCCCTCCTAGGCTCCTACGACAGGAACCCCCAATTGAGAGGACCCATGCCCATTGGCGCCTCTCTATCCGTAGAGTCCACCGTTTTGTTTCATGTGAGCTGTCTCTTTTTCATCATCAAAGTCTATGTAGGTATGCTTCTTGACAAGAAAGCTGTGCTGCGTCAGCTCGTAGTTTCCACACTAAGGTGGTGCGGTTTTTGGTGTTAGTCGCGGAGGCATGGTAGATTTCACCTCGGACTATGCTGCCTGTTACTAACAAGGACAACGTCTTCTGAATCCCGCTCCAGTGGATTCACTCGTTGCTTCTTCTCCTCTGGCCCTTTCCGGGTTGTCTCATCCCATTCTGCCATGGTAGAGGCTCCTTTGCAATCATTGGCCACTCTCCGTGACAGGCCGCCGCGCTACACTTGCCAAAAGTCCACAGTCACCCGCCCGCATCCTCTCTTTCAACCGTATCTCCACCAAGCGAGTAGGAGAAAGGCGCTTGTTCGGAAAGAGATTCCTTGCAGCCACTCGCTGGCGCCTTCCTCGGGACTCAACACCCCTTGGCAACTTCAACTCAGATATAAACCGGTCTCTTCTTCCTCTCGTCTCTGTGCCTAGGCAGCTCTACTGGCACACAAACCAGCAACTTTCACAATGACACGGCAACTCCCTCAACTATCTCGTCATATCGACGCCCAGGGTAGCGGATCCAGTCAACCTACCCGCACCAATACCGCCCACACTGTGAAGGAAGCGCCGTTCGGGACTCCGCAGCCCATTCGCATTGTCGGGATCGGCGCCGGTGCAAGCGGCATCAACCTGATACGCACCCTGAGAAACACCCTCGGTCCCTCGACGTACGAGCTTGTGGTCTATGAGAAGAACGAGAATGTCGGGGGTACCTGGTTCGAGAACCGGTACCCCGGGTGCAAGTGCGACGTGCCTAGCCACAACTACCAGTTCAGCTGGAGACCGAATCCGGCCTGGTCGAGCTTTTTTGCCCCCGCGGCAGAGATTGAGGAGTACCTTTGCCAAATATGTGACGACGAGAAGCTGCGGCCTTTTATCAAGACTTCGCATCAGATCATCGGGGCGGCTTGGTCGGAGTCCAAGGCCGTGTGGGAGTTGCAGATTAAGAACTTGGGGACTGGCACCGTCTTTGAAGATTATGCCAACTATTTCATTGACGCAAGTGGTATCTTGAAGTACGTACATTTCCATTGGAGTTGTGTATTATATCAATGTCTGACTTGCCTAGTAAATGGAGATTCCCGGACGTGGAAGACATCGCGCTTTTCGAGGGGACCTTAATTCACAGCGCAAACTGGCCTAAGAACTTTGACTATACAAACAAGACGGTAGCAGTCATTGGGAATGGTGCGTCCGGCGTTCAGATCATCCCAGCAATGAGACCACGTGAGTATATACCATCTCTATCATGGCGACGCAGCCAGCTCATAGCAAGCAGATGTGAAGAAGCTACACCACATCATCCGGACACCCACCTTGATCATCCCTCCTCGAGTTGCCACAATGAAGATGGGGCCTTCAGCAGCTCTCCTCGATCAAATTGAGATGGACGAGAACGAGCGATTCTCAGCGGCGACGATTGAAAAGTTCAAAAATGACCCGGCCTTCTACAACAAATTTACAAAGACTCTCGAGATGGACTCCAACATCAAGTTCGCCATCTCTCTCATTGCGGGAAGTCCTCAACAGGCTTGGGCGCTGGGAAAGACTAAGGAATTCATGACGGCGATGCTCAAGGGAAATGAGAAGCTCTGCAAGCAGCTGATACCCGACTTTCCCCTCGGGTGTAAGCGACTCACTCCCGCCCCTGGATATCTCGAATCGTTCCACGATCCCCGGGTCTCCCTTCACACCGACGCCATCAAGACGTTTGTGCCGCAAGGCATAGAACTGGCCACTGGGGAGATCCTCGAAGTTGACGTTGTCGTCTGTGCCACTGGCTTCGACTCATCGTTTCTCCCCTCGTTCCCGTTAGTCGGTCGACACGGCAACTTGCAGGACGTCTGGTCCGAGCAAACTCCTAAAGCATACATGTCCCTTGCTGTTGCAGGTCTGCCAAACTTCTTCAGTAAGTCGGGATTCCCTTGCGCTTACCGCTTCGAAGCTAACCATCCTGATTGCTGTAGAATTCCTGGGGCCCAATGCGCCTGTTGTGCAGGGTGATGTCTTTACGCTTAGCGAGCACATTGCCACTTACATCGCCAATACTATCCTCAAATGCCAGACAGAAGGCGTGCGGACTATCGCCCCGTCTGAGGCGGCCGTGGAGGACTATTTTGAGCACATCTCAGCCATTATGCCTCGCACAGTCTTTGCGGGCGGGTGCAGATCTTGGTATAAGCAAGGCGAGGTCAACGGCCCTGTGACAGGTCTGTATCCCGGGAGCCGTATGCACTTCATCCGCTTGCTTGAGCAATTTAGGGGCGAGGACTGGGAGTACACGTATGAGAATGCCAAGCAGAACCGATTCGCATACTTGGGCAATGGGTTCACGGCGCCAGAGATGGCGATGCTCAAGGCTGGAGCGCCGCCTTCCTGAATATGGCGTTGGGGGCCGCGGGGACCAACATTGCCTTGTACATAGACAGGGATAGACGGCTGGATCTTGTGCTCAGTGGCATCACTTTCTGGGTGGTTTGCAGGCGTTGATTTCTGGGAAGGGTCTAGTTCTAGGCATGACTGATGATGAATTCGATTTGCGAGCTTGACGATTGAAGCGAGTCTAATACCAGAATGGCGTGCGACACACTACACAGACAGGAGTCACGCGTTAACTTTATGACACCGATATTGCTTTTCCCTGTTGACCCAACCTTGTTGCCTGGGCCTCGAGTCGTCAAGTGAGAGCCCTGTTTTTTTCCCTCCTTAAGTCGAAGGAGCCGCGGCCTGCGGGAGCCTTCCAATGTCTCGGATGCTGAGCCACTGAGTGGTTGTGTCCAGGCGACTTGGCGCGGTGCACCCGAGTGTTGGTTACGTTGCTGGGTGGCCCCGTGAACCAACTTACCAGTTTTCCCCTGGTCCAGCTGTGTGATGCCTGGTCATGCGGAGTTTCTGCGGGAGATGCGAGGGCTCGACCGGCTAATTGGTAATGGCGCTGTCTTGGGTCGCTGGGTTTGAAGTCTTCGTTGCGCTGTTGTTGTCTTAATGTAAGATATGGCTTGTACCGGCCCAAATGGGTAATGTGATATCCTGCTGATTCCAGGGCATTTAGCTCGATGATTGGGATGAAGGGGGGTATCAATCAAGGGTGAAATTGCTTAGACGAAGCAGTTCGTACTTGGCTTGATGGAAATGGATCTTGGCCTTCGCCTTGAAGAACGAATACCATCGAAAGAGCGGTGATACTAGTCCATTAGCCTCGAGTAGCTTGCCTTGCAACTAGATTTGGCTGGAGATAATGGAATGCTGCCCGTAGAATGAAGGCAAGTGATTCAAGACTATTGCTGAACGAGTCACGCTCTGACTTGGCATTTTACTGGAACCGGATACCTAGAACGGCTTCGAGTGAATGCGATGGTTTAATGTAGACTATTGACAACTCCATCATCTCGAAACCTTGTGGTTGATATGTTGGGAAGTAGAGTCTTTGGCTTTGGAGTAAGAGGATCATCAAGAAGGCGATAGTCTGTTTTGAAACAGAGACATCTAGTCCGCCATGTCAGTGTATGCTGGAAGAAGTTGATGAAGATTGGCTTCCAGACTCTCAAGGTGTATACATCTAACTCTACATCCGGTTTCTTCGAAGTGCGCTCACGTTGTTCCCTACTGAGGACAATTCTTGGATGATATCCTCACTGTCGGGATCCCTGGACATGATCTAGTACAGACCTGTGAGTTGCCTAGTGTGAGTTCATACCCGGAACTAGTCTCGGCTTGCATTATCGGTTCCGCCAGACATGGTCGCATGAGTGACGTTTTGGACTCCAGTGTCCCTCTGGTATAGAAACCGGGCACCCTAAAATCTTGGCCAGTTGAATAAAGCTCCTGGCAACATCTCTCAATGATGAATGCTGTCATTGGGACAAAATGGACGAAACAGTGAGCCGAAGAGCAACCAGCCTAGCCTTCTACACACTCCGAACTTCTCGGCTCATGTACAGTACTTTCATAAGGCTTTTTGGACTATTTGAAAAGTCAAATACCAGCCGGGTTGATGGTTCTGCAAGAGAAATGGTTGGTTGGCACGTAGTTTGTTGGTTCAAGTCGATCATCATAGCGCCACCCCGTTCAGTGGCCCGACCCGCTCCATAAGGCCGGCGCTTAGAATCATGCACTAACCAATTCCGAGTCTCATCTTCCTCTTATCTTCTAACTCCTACAGATATATCTGATCATATATATCTTTCACCCCAATTCTCGATTTTGTGGCGCTTCTCACGAATGTCTTCTCAATGAGATTGTCAAGCAGCATCAACAGTTGCTTCCCAAATCTCGTTCGTAGTCCATCTCGTTCTGCCTTCGGTCACGTATGTTGGGAACATGCCGCGCCACTCCGTTTCAACCAGGGTCTGCAGGAGGGCAGACTGACAATTGCTGAGCGAATGTAACAGTCGCTATGAAGCCTGCCAACTGAGGCGCACATTTGACCACTCCATCGGGTTGCCACAGGTTCTCAGGTTTGCTGCGTCTGGCTACAACTTAACCTAGACAAGTTAACTGCAGTAGGGGTCAGCCGATGAAATATGCATGTCGGAAAGTCGGTGTTGGCAGCCAGGATGAGAGATCGCAGGCCTATTGGGCCGTGTCTGCTCCATATCCTGGCGAGTGCTGGGCGCTTAGCATGCATAATGCATCGGGGCGGATTCCAAAGAAGGCCCCTCTCATGGGGTTGATCTTCGGGCAAGTATCTGCACTGCCCAGATGTTGGTTGAGCGGACTCATTGAAGAAGTGCCGCTGTCCCTCACCTTGGTTCCCTGTTGAGTGCGCAAGTTTTGCATTTGCCTGGCTCGAAAGCCGGGAATCGCCATCCTTATTTACCTATTCACTATTTCTTATATGGACTTCGTTGTTTCACTCTTGATCGTACACTGCTTGGGTTTTTGTTCTAGATCGTCGCAAGATGAGCCAAGATGAGCCACTCTATCTCTTGTCGTTGGGTACGTTGCTCCTTGGCCATTTAGGAGGCCTTATTTAACACAAGGCAGACGGTGGAGGCATCAGAGGGATATCAGAACTCGTCATACTACACGAGATCATGAAGCGGCTACAGAAGGTAGCAGGACTCAGAGAATTACCCAAGCCTCAGGACTATTTCCATTTGATGGGTGGCACAAGTACTGGGGGGTTAGTTGGTCTTTCCAATACACCGTGTTGCAAAGTTCCGCTAACAGCAGATCATTGGAAAGACTCATTGCCATCATGCTAGGTCGCATGGGTATGTCGACTGAGGAAGCCATCAACGCATACGAAAGTTTTGCAAAGGACGTTTTTCGAAAGAAGAACCGCAGGCGGTGGTGGAATAGAACTTACAAAGAGGAAACACTCGTCAAGATCATACAAGACAACGTAACCAAGAAGAAGCTCGCAAAGACCACGATGCTCGACGACACGAGGGAAAAGGGGCTTGCTTTTGTCTGCTCAGCCACATATGACGCCTACGAAGCCTACCTTTTCCGAACGTACAAAGGGAGCAGCAACTGCGCTCACAATGTGGAAATTTGGGAGGCGGCAAGGGCAACATCAGCGGCACCGACATTCTTCCACCCAATCTCCATCGAAGTCGAGTCGGAGAGGGACCAGTACGTCGACGGTGCTGTGACCTACAACAACCCGGCTCGCCTTGTGTTGAGTGAGGCCGAGTCCTACTTCGGTCCGAGGAGGACGTTGGGCTTTCTTCTCAGCTTGGGCACCGGACTGAAAGTCTCCGATAAAAAAATCAATGTGGTTCCTCAAGGACAGCTTGTAGATCGCCCAGTCGTGGCCAGGCAAGGCAGCGGCGCCCTCTTCTCAAGAGGCACGATAAAGATTCTCAAGCATGCCAAAGCATCGCTGACTGATTCCGAGCCTGAGCACCAAGCCCTAGAGCAACGGTTCCAGAAAACAAACTACGCATATTGGCGGTTGAATTTGGACCGGGGTGCTGCAGATATCAAGCTGAATGAATATAAGAAAATGGGATTGTTGCGGGCGGCAACGGAGAAGTACTTACAAGACATTGAAGTCTCGACCAACATCGACAAGATCGTCAGTATGTTGCACAAGAAGGAGGGCGTCAACCTATCTCTTGATGCCGCATGTAAGTATCCTCACCAAGCTACTCTGCTAAGTGACTGACTCGCATTAGGTCATGCAGTATCTGACGCAGCCTCGAAGCAAGCCCTTCAGCAAGAGGTTCAGATCAACAGTATTGCAAGCCCGCAATTCACTGGCAGATTAGACATACTCAACAAGATGGAACGACACTTTTACAAACGCCCATCCGGATCTTCACCCAGAAGACACCTCAGAATTTGGGGCATGGGAGGAGTTGGGAAGACGCAGATTGTCCTCAGATTTAGAGACTTGTACGGGTCGAGGTAGGTGGCACGACGTTCATCTCAACCCATAGTTTTCTTACTAAGTCCGCGTTTTTCAGATTTGATCGTGTGTTTTGGATTAACGCCGCCACGGAAGATTCCATCTTTGAGAGCTTCAGATTGTTAACAGCTGAGATTTTCGACGAAGAAGCTAGCAAGCCTAACATCAAGAGAGTCCAGAATTGGTTGGCGCAAAATCAAACTGAAGAGTGGCTTCTAGTCTTCGACAACAACGACACAATCGACGTGAGCCACCTTCTCCCCCCGGGAAACACTGGAAATATTCTTTTCACCAGCAGACGGAAAGACATGTCACCCACTTTAGACGCCGACCAGACATTCCCGGTCGACATTATGGACGCAGAGGATGCAATCACCCTATTCCTTCGCGCCTCAAAAAGACAAAAGACAGGTTTCGGAGATGATGAAGACAGACACGCGAGAGCAATCGTTCATGAGCTTGGATATCTCCCGTTGGCCATCGATCAGGCCGGTTCCTATATTTACAACCAGGAGTGTTCATTCGAAGACTATTTCGTCGCTTTCCGGAAAGGCCGAAAAGATATTCTAGGAGACCCTATGTACCCGGGAGTCTTTGAGCATAATCCCGCTGTATATGGTACATTCGAGCTCTCGTATGTGGCATTGGAAAAGCTGTCACTGAAAAACAATAGCCCAGGGCGGGCTGCCTTGAATGCCCTTCGAATTCTCAACATCTTCTGCTTCTATCATAATGAGAAGATCACAAGTGCGATTCTGGGGAGGGCAGCAATTAGCAAAAGGAAGAATCCCGATCGCTTGCGTGGCGAAGGGGGCGACAATGGCATTGGGCCGCTTCCGCTGCTCAACACTACAGGAGAAGGCGATTGGGATCCAACCAATTTCGAAAATGGCATCGCGACGCTGAGAAGCTATTCCCTGATCAAGAGGTCTGCTTTGGTCGGGTGGTGGTATTCTATGCATGTTTTAGTGCACTCTTGGGCCAGAGACCGAATGAAGCCCACTACTCTCGCCATGCAACGCAGAGCAGCTGGGGAGATACTCTATCTTACGATTCTGAGAAATAATAGCTTCGATTCAGAGCTCTTTCGCCCCGAGGTGCTGCCGCATATGCAGGCATGTTTCGAGCACGGGAACCTAGAGTTCATGAAGTTGACAGGAGAAACTCACAGGGAAGGTGCCTTCTCAGGTGTGCTTATGGCCCAGGGACTCTGGAACAAAGCTACAAAGGTCTTAGAGGAAATCGTTTCCGCCAGCCAAGAGATATTCGAGCCTCAAGAGATTGATAGCATAGCGGCCTCATGGGATCTGGCGAGGGCCTACCGAGATTCCAGCAGGCTAAAAGAGTCTCAGGCTCTTTTCCAAGATATTCTACAATTGCTTGCGGACCACCGTGAGTCTAAGGCCGCGTGCCGCCATCATCCTCGCATTGGCATCGACCTGGTCGAGGTGTATATTATCCAAGCAAGATACAAGGAGGCCAAAGATTTGCTAGCTATACTTCTAGAATTAGGGGAGCAAGTCGGGCGAGACGGGGCCTGGTCCGGGGGCTGGTGGCGCAAAACTGTGAGAACGCTTGCAACCATCTTCCGGATGGAGGGTAATGCTGAGATGGCTTACCCTATTGACCTTGATTTCTTACGGTATTGTGTGGAGAACAAGATCCATTCCCTTACAACGGCGAGCGCATTGAGCAATGTCGCCGCGTCGTGTTCAGCCTTGGGGGACCATATTGAAGCGGACCGGATTTGGCGCGATGTCCTTGCCATGGAAGAGGGACGGGAAAATAAGTCCAGGATCTTGCCAGCAAAGCGAGATGTCGCAACTGGGTACGCGAACCTGAATCGGTTTGAAGAGGCAGAGAGAATCTTGCGTGAGGTTCTTGAAGTGAGCGAGAACTTTCTTTGGAGGACGCATCTCGATACACTGGCAACGATGGACCAGCTGGCGGGTGTGTTGGCTCGGTGTCACAAAACAGAGGAGGCTGTCCAGCTTTGGGAGGAATGCCTAGATGGTTGGGAGGATATTCTGCACAAGCAGCATCCTCTCAAGCAGAGGACGAGGTGGGCGTTGGAAAAAATAAGGAATGGCGATACCGGCCTCATGCAAGAGGATTTCCAGGCCGGTGGCATTATGTTTTCTGGAGGATGCTATTTCGTACCTAAGGAGGTGCCAAACCGGGATCGTCGTTTGCTGACTTGGATTCCATCATCAGAGGTTCTTGAGCCCCTCTTACCCCCCGAACTAGAGGAGGACGTCAATGCGCGGAATCCAACGAGAAGCGCCAAAGTGTAAATGGCAAAACGAAACGGCTCTTCATTCAACTGGACTTCTAAGCCAGGACGACTTATGGGTGACAAGATTGACTATTGCCGTTACACACATGTAGTAAGGTATGACTTCTCGGTTCTTGTACAGAGCACCTACTCGTGCCCGCCCCCACTTTTTTGGGCATTCGGATCTCATCACCCACTAAAGTGGGTACTTTTCACCCAAACGGCCTCCTTAGCTAAACGGGTAAATAATTATTAATTATATACTATTATACTTAAGCCTTAACTACCCTTTTTTTAATAGCCGCCTATTATCTAGACTATTAATTACGTATATAAGCTAAAACTAGTTATTATTTTTTATTTTTTTAGCTTTTTTTCTTATTTTAAAAGCCCTTTTTTTAATAACTAAGCGGATCTTCGTATTTATTATTTTAAAGAGAGCTACTATTTTAATAATCTCGGATACTTACCTCTATTTAATTATATATTAACTATCCTATATTATAATAATTTTTTTAATTTATAGCTAACTATTCTTACCCTACTTACGGGCTCTATTTACTTATTAAGTTAATTAAGTTAAGCTAAGGTCTTTTTTTATCTAGAGGAGCTTAGAGCTTTATATAAATATTTTATAAATAAACTGCTCGAGATTTTACTTAAGCGGGGAAGTTTTACTAATTAAGTACTAAATCTCTTTATTAAAAGTATTTATATCTTCTTATAAATACTAAGTAACGTAATAAAGTTTTTAAATAGTTATAAGTATAATAAATAATAATAAACTTAGCCCCTAGAAAAGTAATATAATTAGTTAAGAATCGTAACTACGATTATAAATCTTTTTAAGTATAATTTATAAATTATATAGGTAAATACTTATCTTTTTAAATACTAAAAAAATTATAAAATATTTAAATACTTCTTTATAAATAGATTATATAAAACTAAAGAATTCTAGTTTAGTAATATTAATATAGTTTTTTTAAACTACGAGGTCGAGTACCTTAATATAATAGTACTTAAGGGGCTAAAAAACTATAATATTAAGAGGTTATAGAATATATATACTATATAATAGAAATTTAAATAGGATAATATCGTATTTATTATAGTACTTAACAAACTCGATAATATAATAAAATTTATACTTATTTATAAATAGTAGTCTCTTAGCTCCCCTAGTTCGACCCTTTATATATATATTAAAATACTTAATTTAATTTAAAATTATTATATTATTTATATAATTAGTAAGTAAAACTCTTATAATAATATTAAATTTAAGCTTTTTAACGCTATACTACTTAGCTATATAAATAAAGTTATTAAAAATTAAAAAAGCTAGTATATAATCTTTAGTAATAAAAATAGCCTCTATAATAATAATAAATTTTTTATTAATTAGAAAAGTAAAATAATAGGCTTTTTTTCTTTTTATAATAACTATACTAAATTTCCTAACCCCTATTTAAAATCTAATCTCGTTTATATTCTATATATTAAAAAGCTAGATCCTATACTTATTAACGACCTTTTTTAACTTAAAAAAATAAGAGTTAATAATATTCTTATTTTTAAATCTACGCTACTTAGCGTTTAGTACTTTTTTTTTAATTAAAGAGTAATTATACTTTTTAATAAATTAATTAGCTTATTAAGAGTTAATAATTAGAGAAAGAAGTAGGTCCTTAGTATTATTAATATCTATAAGGTCCTATAACTTAGTAAGTAAGTAATTAGTAACACTAATAACGAACTTATATTTTATAAGTAGGTTAATTCGGTTTAAATAATTAATATAATTATAAATTACCTTTTCTTAGTCCTAAGTAAGCTTATAGCTATAGCTAGTACGCTCTTTTAATAAATATTTACTAAAAATCCTTTAACTAAGCTTTTAATACAAAATAGAGTATTACTAAGCTACTATTATAATTAATAATTCCGGGTCTTTATAAATAATTATAATAATTACTTATATACGCTCCTCTTTAATAGTATTAAATTTAGGTATTATAGTAAAAAGTAATAAAAGTAGTAATATATAGAGATAAATTGCGATAATTGTGCCCGTATGGCTAATGTAGCCGTTTGGGTAAAAAGCACCCACTTTAGTAGGTGACGAGTCCTGAGTTCTAATTAAAGTGGGGGCGGGCACGAGTAGCTACCTCCTTCATGCTTAACCATAATGAAGTACATACTGTGTGCAATTCTCGTCACAAGGCACTGTATGGGTCAACGAAATGGGTCACCTCGTTGACGTCCTATCAGAAAATGGTGATTTGCATGACAGAATACCTAAACATTATTTGCCAGTATCTTGAACAACCAGCAACGGGGTGGCCATTATCCATTAAATTGAAAGCAGGAGAGAAGTATTGAGTTTCAGCGTTATAAGTCACATCGATCCACGACTCACTTCCCAGTGACCTCATCGCAGCCTCCCGACCCGATAAATTTCATTACCGCCAACCCGTCACCAATGCGGTCTGCATCAGTTTTGAGAATGGCCTCGGCCTCCGTCTCAAAGGGAGACGGCCTCAGGCCCACGCCGATGGCCCTCCTGCCCCCTATCCCGCTCTACCGTCGTCTTCTGCGCGCTCACCGCAAGCATCTTCCTTCCGAGATGCGCCTACTGGGTGACGAGTACATCAAGGCTGAATTCCGTGCTCATCGTACAGTAGATAACCCGGCGCACCTGGTATGTCCTCTGCTTTTGTAATGGCATAATTATGGGAATCATTCTTTACACGAGAGAACTGACTATTAACTCCTTCGAAATGTGCTAGATCGGTTTCTTGACTGAGTGGCAATTATACGCGCAAAAGATCGAGGGCAACTCGTGGGTTGGCGAGAAGATTGACCCCGTCAAGGTTGCTAAGATGAGTGGTGAGTTATCTCTTCAATGATTTCTTTCGTAACTTCACAATGGCCGACGACTCATTTCCCTGTTAGACGAACAAATCGGTCAACTTTATGAGCTGATGCAGGCCATCAAAGAACGGCGTGAGTCAGGGGAAGGCGAGGATCAATCATGATGTTTAAGGAAAGAAAGCACCGTCATTGTCAATGATGCGAGATACGCGACTTATGCGCGTTTGTATTAACACCTATGTAAATTTTTACCCTTTGCGCAGCATCGTAGCCATCTTTCAGTGCCCCTCGAACGCCTCGACAATCCAGTCGGCCTGGATGATGCTTACTTTCTTAGCATAGTTTTTCTGCGTGAAGACATGCTCAAGAAACATGATGGCCTCCTTCTTCTGCCCGTGTAGCACACTAGACGGGTGAATGGCCACAACGTGCTTGCCTTGTGACGTGACGTAGCTCGCATCCGGCGCCAGTATGGCCGTCTTGAACACGAAGCCGCGGAGGAAGCATTTGAGCAGAGCTTCGGCCTGTTCCGGAGCCAGAGGAGTAAAGGGCTGGGGGTCAGGTGGTGGAGCCTCTGTAAGGAGACCTTCTTTGAGGCAGAGGCTGCGCAGTTGCTTGCGGATGTTGAGCGCAGTCTTCATGTTGCGAATGTTGACCTTTCTCTGCTTGCACCACTGTATGCGATCGGCGTTCTCGGCGGCGTATTGTTGCATTGTAGTAAGATATGTTAGGATGTCGCCTTCCCGGCGGTAGAGCTCCTTGCGAAGTTCTTCAATTTCTTCGCGTTGTTCTTCCGACTGCAGCTGATGGAAGATGTCGTCGCCAGACGTGATGCAGGAGATGACGTCTATCGTCTCTAGGACGCAGTCGAATTCTGGCTTGGCGGAGGCAAGCAGGACCGCACCAAACGCCGCAGAGATGGGAAATCCGGCCATCTTACGGCCGGCCTCAGTGATTGTGCCGTCGTCTGCCAAAGCACCTAGTCCATGAAGGCTGACTAGAGCTCGTTCGATGGCTTCCACATCCGGGGTGTCCATAAGGGGAAACCCGAGAATGTCATCAATGCCTCGTGCTTTCATCGTCAAGACAGCTCCCAGAACATCGATCCTCAGGATCTCTGGCAAGTCTGTTTCCTCGAGTGTACTGAATGTGCCTTCAGTGTATAGCCTGAAGCACTTGCCAGGGCCTTCACGACCAGCACGGCCTGTTCGCTGGATGGCGGAAGACCTGGAAATAGGTTTTGCTAGTAATGATTCCATGCCGAGGCGAGCGCGGAATTGCTTGACCTTGGCCTTGCCGCCGTCCACCACGTAACGTACACCAGGTACAGTTACGGACGTCTCAGCAATATTCGTAGCCAGCACGATTTTCCTCGTGAAACCTCCCTTAACAGGCTGGAAAGCTGCATGTTGTCCTTCCATTGAAAGCTGACCATACAAGGGTAGAACCTTGATTTTGGGAACGTTGGAGGCCAGCGTTGCAGCGTATTCCTCGAGCAGTGACTGAGCGGATTCGATTTCCTCCTGTCCTGTAAGGAAAGCAAGAATATCGCCAGGGAGCGGCTCTTCCATATGGATTTTGAAAATCGTTTTCAAAAGGGATTCCTGGATATCCGGCACTGGTTGGGGAGTATGTATTGTCTTGACCGGGTACTGCCGGCCCTGGATCTTCAGTACTCCCACAGAGTTGCTTTTCTTGCTGACCAAGTCGTCACCGCCGCTGTTTTCTTCAGGACTGTTCGCAGAAAAGAAACTTTGAATGCGCTCAATATCCGCTGTGGCACTCATGACAATGACCTTCAGTGGTATGCCGCCGCGGCCCTTCCTGCTACTAAGCAGGATTTGCTGAAGAAATCCGGACACCAGATCCACGTCAACACTTCTCTCGTGGATTTCGTCAACGATAACGGCGCTGTATTGTTTCAAATCTGGATCTCTCAGAAGCTCCTGGAGAAGCATACCTTCGGTGAGGAACTTGATCTTCGTGCCCTTGGGGACCTGGTGATCAAAACGAACTGAGTATCCAACTAGTCCGTCACGGCTCTCACCGAGAGGCGTCCCAGCCTCACGAGAAACTCGATGCGCTAAAGTCGTGGCGGCGACTCGACGTGGTTGTGTGACTGCGATCATGCCACCGACACTGACTTCTCTTGCGCCTGCGATACTGACAACTTGTCTCCTACACCACGGCTCCCTGACCAAGAACTGAGGTATTTGAGTACTTTTTCCGGAACCAGTTTCACCAACGAGAAGGAGTACATCATTTTGGCGTACGCGAGCTTGTATCTCCTCTCGGTGTGCCCAGATGGGTAACTTTTGCCTGATCTTCAACAAGGCAGGATCTTCTCTCCATCTTGGGCCTCTTTTGTCAAATTTTGGCCTGTCTCGATCCTGGGATGTCTTCGACGAATGCTTGATGAAGGTCGGAGCTGTTTGGTGCGAATCCTTTAGATCTTTGACTAATGCGTCCGACGTGGCATCATTTTCTGTCTCCTGAACAGACCGTAGCTCTTCCGTTGGACGTTGTTGAACTTCTGATTCTTTTTTCTTCGCTGGGGGGTTGAGATATCCCTCGAGAGAAATTACTTTGTTGCCAACCTTGATCGTGTTTTTGCCATCAAGCTTCCGCTTTTTGGGGGCGCGTTCAGCGTCCAGTACAGATGACATGTTGAGGTTGCTAACAGAGTTTGCGATGTGATGTGTAGTCAGCGGATAAGTGAGAAATTGACGGGAGGAAAGAGGAAGAAATTTATGGGGAGACCGCTGAGTTTGGGTTCGCACCAGGTGAGTTTCTGTTTGGATATCTACCCCAGATTTACACAGGGCACCTGACAGAGGTACCTGACCGCCTCATCGCAATGGCCGCAACGTCTCCTCCAGAGCCTCGTCTTAAATAGGATAGTTGAAATGAGAAAATTGACAGAAATCTGTTAAATACATAAGTGATGGTAGCCTGTAGTTGATTCTCAATTGGCGAAATAAATACTCCCGTCAAGTCGCCAAACTGTAACTGACTTTGCCCGTATACATCATGCTGGTCAGACGCCCAGCCTCGAAGATACTGTGTTCCAATTGCAAATTGCGTCACTTTGTTCGCTCTCAAGCGTTTCCCCTCACCCGTACCGATACAAGTCGCTTGCTTGCTCCCGCCTTCTCATACAGTGAGGCTAGCCTAACGACATTCTCTCGTCGACACACGATCTTCAGTCAAACAATGACGGACCGATACAAGCTCGTTTACACCGTGCCAGGTTCGGTCTGCCTAATATTATCGAACAGAAACCAAAGCATGCTGACTTCCTCCTCTGGCATTCCAACAGCTTCCCACTTGGTCGCTACCAAAGACGCCATCTTCGAAACGGGTGCCGGTGTCTATGACCAGGGCAAGTATGTTCAAGTCGCCTTCGAACTTACCGGCCAAGGCCAATTCAGGCCAGTAGCGGCAGCTGGGGCAGACCCTCACACAGGCGCAGTGGACCAACTTGAGCGAGTCTTGGAATACCGAGTCGAAATCCTGTGCTCTGACATAAATATTGCGAAAGCCGCTGTGGCAGCCCTCAAAAGGTATCAAGTCTAAACTTCAAGGTTCTTCATGTTTTCGATTGACAATATGCTCTCTGTAGCGCACACCCTTACGAAACCCCGGCCTATGAAGTCTACAAGTTGGAGAACATTTAGTTGCCGACCTGCTCTTCTTTGTCTACTTTCTGGGCATTCTCACGAAGAGGATAGTCGGTGGAATTGGCTCCCAATGTTCACCTGATGCGGTTCAGACGCTCTCTGTTCATCCTAACTCCGTCATCGACAGCGTCGCTCTGGGAAATGTAATTAGCATCAACACAGAACATGAATAAAATTTAGTGATGGACTCACCTTCTTGGCGATATTGTCGATGAGAACGTTCTGAGAATCGATCTCTCTTCCTAGAGCGCGCGCTGCTAGTTGAATACGCCCAGTCGAGCCGCCAAGTGCTCTGATATTTTCGTCAATCATCCTCTCCTCCTCCCGTGCTTGAGCGGCGGCCTCCTCGTCACTACTATCATCCTCTAATTCGAATTGTGACTTCCCTGCTGGCTTGCTTTGTTGTTCCGCCCCCTTTTGAGGACGACCAGACAGCGACATCTCCCTGAAGGTATCTTCCATTCGCTGGTTGGACTTGAAAGCCTCATGTCTGGTTGCCTCGCGAACTTCGCGCTCTTGGCGGTGTCGGTCGAGAATCGCCGCATCTCGTTCTGCCGCGCGCTTCTTGGATGTGAATGGGTTGGCGATGTGAACTGCAAACATGCTTCCGTTGGCGGTTTTCAGCTCCTTGGCACCCTCCTCCGCCTTCTTGTTGTGATTTGCCGCTATGTCCATGTTCCTTTCTGTGTTATGCAGACGCTCGCCTTGAGCAGCAAGCTTAGCGAGAGATGCATTGGCTATGTCCTCAATATTGCTCGCATTTTGACGCATTCTTTGGGTGGTCTGAAGAGACTGATTTCTGACATCCTTGATTTGTGCCTTGGTAGCGCGGTATTCTTCTGCTTCTTGCTCTTCGGCTGTGAGCTCGCGAGTGGCTCCATATCCGCCGTATCCCCCATCAGCACCAGACGGGGTCGATTGGCCGTACCCTTCAGCCGGCGGCTTATTCTGCTGGTACCTGTTTTGAGCCCCGCTGAAAAGTTCGTCACGCACAGCATCGGTGCTGTCACTGTTGGTTCGGCCCAAACCTCCGTAACCTCCGGGTCCGCGAGCTCCACCATTAGCACCTGATCGCTGATTCGCGCCGTAGGCGTTCTGGTTGTCATCGTATCGATTCGCCCCGTATCCTCCTGCGGCGCCGTACTTTTCGTTCCCGTAGCCACCGGCAGGCTGTGGCGGGGCACCGTAGCCACCACCAGCCCTCGGGCCGCCAGGAAGGCCGCCGGGGGCATCACCATTGATGGGCACACCGGCTCGTGCTCGTTGATAGGGCGTCATGCCGGCGTACTTATTCGCGTCCTGGGCGTAGGGATCGCCGCCAGCCGGAGCTTGTGCGTAGGGATTGTCGTTGCCGGGAGCAGGAGACTTGCTCTTTCGGCCGAAGAGGGCGGAGCGATTGGCATCGTCGCCTTCGTCGCCGCCTTTCTTGCCGAAGCCGAACTTCTTCATGATGAGGAGCGATAAGGTGGAAAACTTAGGTTTTGTCGAGGTATGGTGAATGTGGTTGTACAATTGGATTTTTCTAGAAGGAAGCAAAACACAACGTGCCGCTGAAGGTTTGTCTAAGGAAACAGAACGTAAGGTAAAGGAAATGTATAAAAATAAGGAGAAGTTAGGTTGTGGAGGGACAGCACGGTAGATGGCTAGATGCAGGAGGTACGAGCAAGGGACGGGCAGCACCAGCGGGCCCAGCGGGGACCCAGCGGGGTTGGACAAGGGGCGTCCAGTAGCAGCTTAATGTGGCAAAATCGGGCCCGTCTTGGGTGTGTTTCGAAGGCGAACGGAAGTGCCCCCCTCAGGCTTCAGGGTCTAAGCCATAAAACATTCGTCAGGCTTCTAATGGTTTGGACCTGACTTGGGGAATTGGGCTTGGGCCAGCGACGACCCGAAGCGCAACGAATCAAGTATGTAAACTGCCTGGGTCAGGCCTGGGTTCAGTGTTGCGGGCTGCGGCAATGGAGAAGACATTATCCTGCTCAAGTCATCGTGGCCGTTCCAGATGACAGGGAATGAGTTGGCCACCCAGGTACTCCGTACCGACATATGAGTTGGGGTACGGATCTCCGTACACGCTCCGTTGACAATCATATTATGGCGCAAGGAGCGGGCTATACAATGGTGGTGGTCATCATCAGCCTATAGCAGCTCTTCGTGCTCGACTCAGCCTTGAGTCTAGCGCTGGAATCATCGCTTTTCCTTGATCGCTCTTCAGCTTACTGCGTAATCCGGATGTGTTGTCTTAGTGCCCCAACCAGACTCGGTATCAGACGGCATTGGGCTGAATACCTAAGCCGGTCGCATCTGCGTATACCTACCTACCTTACCTAGATAGTGTATCCGTGCTCTGTGGTCTTCCCACAATTTCCCATACGCATCTTATCTAAGCACATAGCAAAATGTGCAGTAGCGTTATTGCTTATGCTCTGTGAAGATGGCGTTATGCGCTGATTACCTACTCTTTCTAGTGAGCAAGGAGATCAAATGAGGACTGATCTCCGAAGCAAATGAGTCCAGCCTCGCCTGGGAGAATGGTTCTGCGGAGTACTTCGACAGTGTCTGTGCCTAGAGGCCAAGCGAATGCAGCCTTGCAAGACCCTAGGTGCATGTGAAAGCGGCAAGACACGTTGGCTCTTCTACCATGTTCCGATAGACTTGTAGATTCGTAGTTGGTGCAAATGTTTGCTTGCAGGCAGTGGTTGTTTTCATGCTGTACCGGATCCTCGGGTATTACAGAACCAAGGTACGGAAGGGGGGAACAAAGATAACCTGACTGCTATTATTAGGTAGGGAGACTTATTGGGCCACCTACACAGGTACCTTATTTAAATACGTACAAACCTGACCGGAGTCCAAAGATTCAACGTATGGCGATTAATTAAGTCATCTTAGGAACAGTACCTACAGAAAGAGGATTGCCCACTTGGTATTCAAAATTCAACGTCAACCATGTATATGAAGTCTCTTCAATGGCAAGACTGGCTTTGTCATAGCTAGCCAAGCCCAAGACCAACAATGTAGGAGCTGAACAGATCTCAACAAGCGCAGGTGGAAGAGTTGATGAGCACGTTGGCATGAGTGAGTCTACTTCAGGTACTCGCAGCGTAGACAAGTTCCGAGGTCTTTGGTCAGAGTCGTCGCTATGGATACTTTGATGCAATTCAACGCTGTGGAGTGTGGACTCATGGAGTCATTCACCGCCGGCCGGTAACCTAAGGTAGGTAGTGTACGGATAGTAGGTGGCTGCTACATGGTGCCCCATGGTCGCTGGATAAGCTGGTGGTGGAATACCCGGACCTTCCCCGCCCGGGGACCTCATAGTCGAGCCACTCAGAGAGGTGCTAAGGCAGTGTCCCATCTTGCCATCTTACCCAGCAAGGTATCTTAGTCACTTTGAACTTGACTTCCGGCCAACTGCGTCACACCTCGCCTGAGACTTCTCACCGTCCTTCGAGTCATTGCTTCGGCCAGACTGCAGCGTCAAAACTTATCCGTAACCTCTCTCTGTCCAAAGCCTCCAATCTTTGAATGCACTTGCAAACTTCCACACCACAAATATCAGACCCAGCTGCGCATAGAAAACGATCGCCATGGCCTTCAACTAGGAATCCGATTGAGATTCCTCTCCGTCACTCCAAAGTCAGCAACAGCGCCTTGAGCACGTCGCAGATATTACCTCTCAGCTCAGTTATCAAAATGATACCGCGCATAGCGTTCCGTTCCTCTGCCCTTTTTACTGCAATAGCTCTTCAAAATCGGCGTTGACATTCCTCACGAGTTTGTTTCTACTCGATATCACGCGCTTGAGAAACTGCCACAAATTCGCCACCACACTCCCTATCCTATTGCCACCCTTGTACTTGAACCATGGCTTCCGGCTCAATATTCACTTTCGATACGGATCCTCAAAGGGTCGCATCCCCATGGCTGGCTCCCGAAGACTCTGGGAGGAGGTCCAACTCTGATCATGGACAAATCCAGCCGGGGCACCTCTCAGACTACGGTGTCACCAAGCTGGAAGCAGAGCCGCAAGAAGGTCCCACTGAATACAAGCTTCACCTCTTATTGCGGCCAAGACGGACATACACCGCTATGAGCACCATATCTTCCACCCAGAACTCCAGAATTCCCGCCAGCCGCTCAAAGATTGCAACTGCTGCCCTGTCGGCCTCTAGTCAGAGCCGACAGGTCCGCCTACAACAACTGACTACGCAATTGCTTTGGAGGCTCCAGCAATCATGTGCCTACCATGCTCTGAATCCCAAGGACCTCATCATACCAAAATTACCCGATGATACGGACGACTTGAGCCAGGCGATGACTCCGCAGAAACCTCTCCCAGGCTTGGAAGAATCTCGTGGAGCATTGTATGAGATTGGCGTTGCTGATGACGGGACTTTAGTAGGGCTTACCAAAGACGAAATGGACGAGAGCATCACGACACTCAAGGTCATGGCAGCCACGCTGGGCTGCCGCGTCGAAATCCTACGCCACGTAATTGTTGGCGAGTGCGAGTGGCTAGAGACGTCCGAGTTGGTGGATAGTGTGGCCACTCAACCTGCCCAAATTGCCCGACAGGCAAGACTCTGGGTTGTAGAGGCTCTCGTGACTCCCGACTACTCAATGAAGAACGGGCACCCAGATGGCTCGGCAGAGGGGCGTCGCGAAGTGAAAGAATCGCCAAGGGCTACCGAGTCTGTTGTGCAACCAAGCAGAGGGCGCTCTACCACGGATCAGCTAAGGATAACGCTCACTGGACCAACGACGTCCGGGAAATCTACTTTGCTGGGTACTTTGTCCACGGGCACTGTCGACAACGGACGAGGAAAAAGCCGGATCAGTCTCTTCAAACATCGGCACGAGGTCGCATCTGGGCTTACTAGCTCTGTAGCACAGGAGCTTATCGGCTACAAGGACCGTGCCATATTCAATTACTCGCAAGATCACGTTGAGTCGTGGATTGATATACACGACAGTGCTGAGAATGGTCGCTTGGTTTTCGTTTCCGATTCCGCCGGCCATCCCCGTTACCGCCGGACCATTCTCCGCGGTTTGTTCGGCTGGGCTCCACAGTGGACTATTCTCTGTCTGGCGGCAGACGATACTGACGCGAGTTCGACAAAAGACGGAGCGAGTTCTACCGCCAATGACGTCCTTGGAGTCGCAGGGGCTGGCGTGGATCTTGCCAAAGCTCATCTCGAGTTATGCCTAAAATTGAAGACTCCTCTGGCTATCGTCATCACAAAAATGGACCTTGCAACCAAAGCTAGTCTGCATCGAATTCTTGGACAGCTCTTGACACACATCAAAGCAGTCGGCAGAGTCCCTAAGATCCTCCAACCAGCTCAAGGCAGTGTTCAGGAATGGACAGCTGTTCCTTCAGCAGATCTCGACAAGGTGAAGGCTGTCACCACAGAGATGGATCGGGATGGAGACCTCCTTAAATTTGTTCCAATAATACTTACCAGTGCTGTCAGCGGTGCTGGTATTGGGATGACACATGCCCTCTTGGAGAGCCTCCCCCTGCCACCAGTCCCTACTGCCAACGACTACGTCGGGATGGCATTAAATCCCGAACAGCCGTCGTGCTTGTTCCACATTGACGACACTTTTAGCCTTCCGGCGTCCTACGCTTCTCTTGCTGAGAATCCCGATCAGAATGACATGGGAACGGTTGTATCCGGATACCTACGTTTTGGCCAGCTTTCGGTCGGAGACAGCATCATTGTTGGACCATTTCCTTCCGGCGAGGACGACTTCAAAGGCATGACACCGGAGGACCGGGCCTCTCCTGGCAATTATGGGCTGTCAATATCTCACCCATCGTCGGCAGAACTTGCCAAGATTGCAATTCGCAATACAGTGGCAGCCTCCACAATCCAAGGAGAATGGCACAAAGCCAAAATTGTCAGCATACGTAATTTGCGGCTCCCCGTGAACACACTTGAAGCTGGTCAAGTCGGCACCATTGGGATCGTCCTGGAAATGCCCCAAGAGAAATCGGCTGAAGCGGCTTTCGAGACACCGTTGGCAGCTCCTCGAATCCGGAAAGGCATGGTCCTGGCCATTCCATCCAAACATATGGCGGACACAGGCATGTCCCTCCAAGCAGCTAGTGGACTTACGGTGTCATTCAGAGATCCCAACACTGCATCGCTGGCGTATGGGTCTCTTGTTAATGTATACGTCGGTAGTGTTCGGGCGGCGGCCCGAGTCAAGGGTGTTTCCAAACTTGCCTCAAGGAATGGCTCGAACAAAGCCAAGCCCGAAGAGACTGAAGATATCTTCGACATGAACGAACATGACGAACCAGCCCCTACATATGATCTTGAGTTCTCGGGCGGCGTTCAGGTTACATTGGAGCTGCTAACCAGTCGAGAATGGGTCGAAATGGGCTCTCAAATCCTTGTGCTCGAGGGAGGCCGCAATGATAGATCTGGTCTAGAGGGCTTCGTGGGAACTGTCGTCGAGATTGTGGACTGATTTTGTTCTTAAGTTTTGCGTTTGCGTTTTGCATGGGAATTTTGTTTTGATCAGATTTTATAGCGGCGTTGTTGAGCATGCTGCCACATCCTTCACTTATATCGTTATACCAGCGTTGTCATGTTCATTTTCAGATTATGGTTCTGCCATGATGTATACCTGCGACTAGACCCATATGCTGGTTCCCCAACGCCCGACGCCAGAAATGCCCCCTTAACTATCCTTATTTTGTTATGCCCTCACCAAACCATAGAACAACGTCCAGGTGAGAATGAAACCAGAAAGACCTCCAAGCAGCCCACTCGTCCAGAAGTCGAACGGCCCCTTAAAGTAGCGGCTCGTGCTGAGGAATGGGAGACCTGCTGATGTCGATTCGGGAGCGATGCGCAGGACGTAGAACAAGGCGGCGGTGATGAAAGAGAAGACGAGGTAGAAGAGGAAGCCGCTGTACGATTCGAGACCGAGGATGCCGGCTGCGACACCAAAGAGGGATGCTGAAAGACTCTGCAAGTTTGATAGGGTCTGCAGAGGGCGCGATGTGGTTAGCGACAAAGATTACGTCGGCCATTGAGGCCAGCTTCAGGGACCTATCCCACCTTGGTGTTGTGCATCACGGATTCCTGCACAATGGGGGAGATTTGGTAGTCGCGTTCCGACGGCATCGTGGCGGTGTTGCTGGTATGGGGTGCACGTTTATCAGGTCGCCGGAGAGCTCGTGTCTTATCAGGGGGCAACGGAAGACCTTGGGTCTCGCGGTCGTATCTTTTCCGTCGGCGATGCACTTCGTGTTTGGGGGATCTACCTTAGGTAGTGGTGTCTGTTCTGTTCATTGAGCTCTTCCGTCACAAAGCGGGCCACGGATTAGGTAATGCCAGCTTCCAATCGAATAAGGTATGGTCCGTTGGGGTTTTGGCAGGTCACTGGCTCACTATGATTCCTTACCTAATCCCGCGAAGGAAAGTTGGAGATCGGTTCACGGTATGATAATTTTCCAGACTCCCTACCTACCTGCCTATCCAATCTTGCGTTAGTGTCCCCAGATCGGTGGGTGGAGAGTCATGTCGGTCTCGGCTCCGCCCCGTGTCGTCCCATCCAATGTACCAAAATTAAAAATATGCAAATAATAATCCCCAGGTACGCAATACGTGATGCACAAGCCACATTCTCGGTGCGCAAAACCTCACCGCGACACCGTTAGAACGCTCCGTTAGCTGGGGCAGATCATATGCAACCACCCCACCGAGGTTCCGACTTTGTACCCCTAGCACCTTTAATCGGTTACAGGGGTCCAGTTTCCTTCCCCATTCGCGAGCGGGCTGGTCACTCTCGGGTCGGCGCTTTGAGCGAACTCTCCCTTCCCCCCTGGTGAGCCCTCCGCAATCACAATACGTATCCGTACTCCGTACATACAATCCGTATATATCCCCCGAAGCACCGTCTGCCTACTAGAGAGCAGCGTTTGCTCATGTTTTGCCTTTCCCTTGAGTCTTTTAAATATTAGTCGACCAAAACACCTCACCACCCCTCAAACCGTTCACGATCCCACTACGCAGCGGCCAACGCGACGACTTGGGGCGACAGATGGCCGTGCTGCTTGCAGGTGCCTCCTCGATACTTGCCAGGTCGCTAGATGGAGCCTGTTGTGTTTGACCAGTCGCCGCTCGCAGAGTATCTTCGTGGTGAGTGCAACTTCCTCATAGGCGAACACCCGTCATGCCATTGAGCTCGCCCACTGATAATCTGCGCGCATGCTGTAGACGAAGGCGAAGAGGAGCAGGCAGGATGGGCGCACGACGATCCAACCTACGATGTGTCGCCTCCTTCGAGCCCTGAGTTCGCGCCGACAGGTCGGCCGATGGTTAGGTCGAGATTCCGCAATAATCCCCTCAGAGTCGACATACCTACCAAAGCGGCCTCTGACAAGTCTTACAGACTCAGCTATTCGGTGCGCATTGTAAATCCCCTATCTGTTGGCACATGGGGAAATTACTGATGTGTGTCCTTTCCAGACCGCGGTAGCATCCAGGATTGACCGAGCCGACAACTCCAAATTCCTCGAGCAATTTCGCTATACTATTATCGCATCCCAGCTATTGAGTGGGCACTCCATATTATCCCAGAACCATGCATCATCCCGGTCCGCCAATATGGCCATTGACGGAAACCCGGCCGACAAGTTGCTGGATTCAACGAGCGCGGTCGTCGTCGTTCTAGGGGCATTGGCTCTCGTCGTCTCGATCAACTGGCTTGCAGGAACAGGGCCATTGAGCAAACGGCGCACTTTCGTCATTCTGTTGGTTTTTGTGATCGCTGCAGGGATCGCCCATGTGTTTATGCGTAGACAATGGCTGAGGTACAGACGGCTCCAAGCACTGTCAGAGGTCACTGCATTTGTTTCAAACTCTCAGGAATTCGACAGCGCGACTGGCGCAGCGATTGCTCTGGTGCAAGAGGTGGAACTTGTTTCCAGAGGTTACCGTCTGTAAGTTCAATTTCTCCTCTGGCCCAGTAGCTGGCGAGAAAGTCCGTGATGCGCTGACACAAACTTTAGGAGTGCGCCTCTTCCGCCCATCAGCCGCATAGAGGATCGCTCACAGACTCGCAAGTGCGTGCGGCTCCGCAGGGCTCTGAGGGCGTGCTTCGCGGATGTCATTCCCGCATACGATCAGACCGTGGCGGTAGTGAAAGGGTTCTCGGAACAACTCGACCTCGAGAAGTACTACGATATTTACGATATCAGCGATTTCGACATGTCCGATGCCCAGCAAGGCTTCAAGGAGGATGAGTTTGAGGACACCGAGTCTTTGAGGACGCTCAAGATCCTCGCCGCACGGTTCCACACCATCCGGAAGATGTTTTTGTGTGCATTGTTGGCCCTGGACGCGAGCGGTGAGAGTGACGACCTCTTGAAATGGACTACCACAGTAGAAGCGGTGCGCACTCTCAATACGGTCACCCAGAGGGCATTCGACAACCTAAAAAGACTTCTGAGCGATGAGGAGTGTAAGTGATCTTTTCACCTCACTATAAGGCGTGTTGACTGACGTTCTCAAGCATTCCCACCACCGCCAACTCCGAAGATGCCATTAACACCTGGTCGTGAGAGATGGAGATCGCAATTACGGAAACTGAACTCTTTGTCCAGCGGTATTCGCGGCTTACAGGCTAAATTGACGCTGTTAAGGGAGGAGTCTGACAGGAGCCTCAATGAGTCTGACGACATTTCCGAGCTCGGATCCAACCTCATGTCACAGTATGAGTCCATAGGGGCTGACCTGAAGATACTGATGCAGGCCTGGGAGGAAGGCAAAGCGGCACTCGCTCTGGGTATCGACCGGAACGAAAAGCGACTTTCTTCCATGAGCACACTGCTGTCACCGACCAGCTCTCTCAGTGGGCTCACGACAGTTGATGAAGGAGGCGGAGCAGCCGAAGCCCTCAAAGCTTTGAACGGAGAGTCCCCCTCAAGCTTAGACTTTAGCAGCACAGGAGAGCCCGACACGGAGGAGATTTTTGAGGCGGTCGCTAAGCCGTTCCGGCCCCGCAGCTTATTGACGAGAGACGAGCGCATCGTCAAGATGAGAGAAGACCGGGAGAAACGAGAGATCGCCAAAGAAAAGGCGGATGCCAACAGAGGCATGCTCAAGGAACTTGAGATGGTCATCAACCTCCGGCCCCGCCCACGAACTGGGACGAATCCGTCACGCATTGTTTCGATGTGATGAGGACATGACATTTGATGACGGACATGGCGTTCTGGTGCAACGATTCAGCTAATCACAGTCATTTGAATCTTCGTTTTCCTTTTCTGTTCTTGGTTTCTGATACATAATCTCTGCAAACACATTCGCACTCAGGGTGCATATAGAAGGGGATTTCAGGGAATCCGGATGGGAGGTATCGATCGCTTCCAGTTGACCCATTTGTATTGTATAATGGCACTCATGCCCAGCATGACATCTGGTGCAGGCTCAGAGATCGGGCCAGATAATCTCTGGAGACTACTTTTAGTATTACAAGCAAAAAAAGTTAGTATCTACTAGGGAACTAAAAGCGAGAGAAATCAATAGCCCTATTGTTTGATCTGTACTTTGTTTTGTTTACATCTTCACCAGCCACACAGGGCTGCAACAACTCCAGTGTTTTGTGCCGTTTTTATTGCTTATATCCAACGGTTGCCATCCGGAGCTTGAACAAAGAAGCCCGGTCGTCAGGGAGAAGAAAGGGGGAGCCACAATTCAGGGGCTTGGAGCATCAACGTACACCCTTGGCGAAGTGGAGAGAGCTCGGTGAGCCCGGACCAGCTGCTATCTCAGGAGGGCAAAATGCGCCTGGCAGGCTGCTCGCTTGTCCTTCCAAGGATACGTAGGTGAACGGTGCACGAGCCATCCGTCAGCGATCAAAGACGGAGCGGACGCTGGCTGGCGTGCCTGTGAGTGAGTGTTCCTGCCCCCCCCCGCGCGTTGTTGGCGTTGAGCCCTATTAAACGCTTGACGCGTCGTTCCCTCGCCAGCCCACTACGACGCGCGAGCGTGTTTGCCCATTAAAGTGCTTTCCGCGACAAGACCTTCCACCCTTCATCAACCCCTCAACCACAGACTTGACGATCTCAACTTTTACAACAGCTCATCATCATCTCTGTGCCTTCCCTTCCGCTTCCTTGATACCCGAAGATACCCCTCTGCTCTTATTCTTTTCACAAACATATAATCAGCCAGTACGTCGTACCATCCACACTATTTTTTTTCTTTCTTCCACGATCCTCCCAGTTTTCGATCCAAGTGATGACGCTGACATTTCGCAGAGATGTTGGAAGCCAGACTCGACCAGGCCGATATCCTGAAGAAGGTAATTCTTTCCTAGCTTGGTTTGATAGCCATGGCTGCTGGTTCTGTGACTAACCTGCCCAGGTTGTCGATGCCATCAAGGATCTCGTTCAGGACTGCAACTTCGACTGCAATGACTCCGGCATCATGCTTCAGGCCATGGACAACTCCCACGTTGCTTTGGTCTCCATGGCTCTCAAGGCCGAGGCTTTTTCTCCCTTCCGCTGCGACCGCAACATTGCGCTCGGCGTCAACCTTGGCTCCTTGACCAAGGTCCTCCGCGCAGCCCAAGGCGACGACATCCTGACGCTCAAGGCTGAGGATGCCCCCGACAGCCTGAACATCCTCTTCGAGAGCTCAGCCAACGACCGTATCAGCGAGTACGACCTCAAGTTGATGGACATTGACCAGGAGCACCTGGGTATTCCCGAGACGGACTACGCCTCCACTATCACCATGCCGAGCAGCGAGTTCAGACGCATCTGCGCGGACTTGATCGCAATGAGCGAGTCGGGTAGGCAGCGCTGTCCCTTCTAAACACTTTTTTGAAAATACAAATTCTAACTTGCTGCCGCGTACAGTTACGATCGACGCGAGCAAGGACGGTGTCAAATTCGCTGCCAGCGGTGACATTGGCAATGGATCCGTCACCCTGCGAAGCCACACCAACGTGGACAAGCCCGAAAACAACGTCGACATTGAGCTTTCTGAGCCCGTCTCCCTGACCTTCTCTCTCAAGTACCTCGTCAACTTCTGCAAGGCCGCCGCAATTTCCAAGCAAGTCAAGATCTGCCTCTCGAACGAGGTACCGCTGCTTGTCGAGTACGCTCTGGCGGGCTCCAGCTACCTGCGCTTCTACCTGGCGCCGAAGGTAAGTCTAGTCTCTTGCATGACACTCAACACCATCAAGACAAAAAGCTAACGTGCATCCTAGATTGGTGATGAGGAGTAAATCGGCGATTAACGACGGAATGAAGTTGATATTGCTGGCGTTGTATGGGATCATGGACGGGGCAAAGGGCCTGTCCTTTTCACTCTGGATTGAGTTTTGCATGTTCTAGAGACGATACGCAATACGTTGGTGAAGGAAGAGCAAAAAGCACTTTTTGGGACCACGAAAGATATTGAAATAACTGTTTCCGCCTACCTTACATATAAGACCATGGGTCCATGACTTTGATACCTAGTGTGCTCGCCATTCATCGAGTCCAGTCCTTTACTGGATTCTCTCAATTGAAAGAGTGCGCCAGCTGAGAGCAGCTGCAATGAGGCGAGCTGCCTTACCGTCAGAGCTTTCCAATCTCGGGCTAGTGCGGGGTTCTTCGATGCGCCCTTTGGTTTTTTGGCGGGGTCGGTTTTTTCCCTGGAAATGTCACATCGGGTTGGGCGGTCATCGGCCGTCGCAACGTCAGAGTCAGAGCAAGAGCCACTGCCAGAGCGGGAATTGCGAAGCTAACCAAGTGGAAGAACCTGGAACCGCATTACACCCGTTTGGATCCTTTCTAATCTCACTTAGTCACTCCCATCTATTACCTCTCTCTCTTGTCTTCACACGAGACCAAGAGATATCTCCGGAATAGATAGACATCCGGGTAATTGCGCCGATACAGGACCTCTCACTTTGCCCAGATTTTTGTTTCACAACGCATCGAGTTTGTTTGTCTTATTTCCGCACCATTCTTCAACGCAACACTCCTTCTCATTGTCCAGCAACTGTAATCGTTCCGCGCATCGGCATCTTTCCCGATAAAGCATCCCGCCGATAACCGACTTTTGAGATCTGAGAAACTACATACACACGCCTTCAGTAAAACATACCTACAATATACCATAACCACGCATTTTGAGCAAACAATAAAGTGTTGTTCCTGAGACGTCACAAGTCTCGCAACAGGATCATGACGGTGGAACTCCCGATCCCCGATACACGCGTCCTGGCCGTCGCCAGTCATGTAAGACTTTTTCTCTGAGCTCTCACAACCTCGACCGAGATGTGTGACTGACGGTCCGATACAGGTTGTGTCCGGGTGAGTTTGTGTCGCGCCCTTTCACATACGCCCCATGTGCGCTAGGCGTTTCGATAGGCAGAGTGTTGGACCGCGGGTCTGACAGCCTCTCGCAGAAATGTAGGAAACAAAATCGCCGTCTTCACACTGCAGTCCCTTGGCTGCGATGTCGCGGCTCTCAACACCGTCCAATTCAGTATGGCCTCCTCCTTCCACTCTCTCCTCCCTCTCTCCATGACTGACTTCCCTTCCCTTCCTCCCCATTATCATAGGTATTACTTTGCTAACACACACTCTCTCAAAAAACGATAGGCAATCACACAGGCTACAGACAATGGAAGGGGACAAGGGTGTCCGCCCAGGAGATCCGGGACCTCTTTGAGGGGCTCAAGCAGTCGTACCTAGACGACTTTGACATGATGCTCTCGGGCTACATCCCCGGCGCCGAGGCCGTCGTGGCCGTCGGCGATATCGCAAAGGAGCTCAAGCGGAAGCAGGCCGCCGCGGGGACGCCGGGCGGCTTCTTCTGGGTCCTGGACCCCGTCATGGGCGACAACGGTTCAAAAGTGGGAAGAATGCAAAAGCGCTGAAGGCAAGACGACGGTGGGGGTACAATCCACTCTGTCGCCCGGAATGCCGCGGTCGGAAGATGTAAATGGCTGTGTGCAAAGCGATAAGCACAACAGCAATGTCCGATGCCTCTATGCCGACTGCGAGGAAGAAGCCGCTGGCTTGGCAGAATGATGACCTCGAGGCAACTGGACCACTCTTGAAGTCGACGATCGGGAATATGATGAACCACAGCGATTTCAGCATGTCACTCGACATGAGCAGCATAATGAGACTGTCAAGTTGTCAGTACAATGCCCGTTTTCCGTCTTGGTGCGAATAGCTTTGTCCAGCGAAGGCAATGCACCCCCGATTGAACGTTACTCACTCATGTCTGAAGCTACGCCTCCTCCTAGAAAACCAGTAAAAGGCGAAAGTTACAGACGCAAAACTCAATGCAGCGGCAGCAAGTGACGTGGATTGAATAATCGTCCACTGGTGATCGGTCAACCCATCGGGAATGCGGGTATAAGCCGTATCTATACGGCTGCTGATAACTTCGGGCGGCGACGCAGCTGGTGATTGTGATGCACCAATGTTGTCCAGTGCGCGGGGCCACGGTGCCATGACGGCTGTGGTTTCCTGGACACCGGACGTAACCTTGGAGTCGGCGGGATGATTCGTTTTACGTGGGAGGCTTCGGATTCCTCATGATGATATGATCGTGACCACTTAGACGACCCTCGTGCTTGGTGTTGGCGTTTGTAAAGTCGGCGATGAAGCTGCGAATCTGCTTGTATGCCCCTCGATTTTTGTCCTTGTCCAACTGCGGGTATCTGCGATGTGCTCGTTTTTTGACCCGTCATTCAGCTTCCCTGCAATGTGTAACGCTCCCTTCGATGTCCGTAGATCCCCCTCTCGTGATCGGCCGGCCCTTTTTAAGATATTCGTAGATCAGTGGGCGAAACTTTGTTTCCGTGGTGCTTTGTTTGCCTCGATGACCGAAAACAGTTACAACTTTGGGTACAGCGATTACCCGAGCCACGGTCTTGCGGGGGAAATTTCCGGTCGTGTACGGACCAGGATGGAAGTTGAATATTGAATTGGCTGGGAGATACAAATTTCCTTCTTCGCGTCAGATGGCCAGAGGTTGTGGGAGAGGATAGGTTGGTGGTTATAGGGAAAAGGTGATGGTACGTAAGTCCTATTTTGGTAAGCCTTCAGCCTTCAATGAGCAGGGTCTGTGGAATATGAGGTCCGTCCTCCGCCTGGTATCGGATTGTCGCTCAGGAAAGGGCGACAGAAGCTTAAAAAGGGACGGACGCAGGCGAGACATTTGACCGCGAATAGGGGAGACGGGGGTCGGAGGCGCTCAAAAAAGCAAGACAGGCTATTAGCGTCGTGATTTGAGGCTTTTGGGCGGATGTCAGCTTGGCCAATAAACAGGCGGCCAAGGGAATAGGCATCCGGTGCGGTGTGGTGGTGTCTGTGTGTTTGTGCGTCGATCGTGTGATTGGGGGCGTGGAGAGCGGTGAGGGCGTCTGTCGAGCGAGCCAGCATGCTTCGAGCTTGACTTCATTGGCGTCGGTGTGTGGCAGTGTAAGAGTTTGGTGGTTGATAGGTACTGCTGAGCCGAGGGGGGTAGACAATAGGAGGGCGTTTGCTACCTATAATCCTCGCTGGTTTGGGGGTCGGCGACCTCAGCAAAACGAGAGACATGAAAGAGACAAGTCACTTGCTGGTACTCCGTATAGTCGGCGGCACAGGGGTAAGGAGCACTGCAAAGCGGCTGGGTTGGGTCGGATGGCGGGCTAGCAGTCTGGGTCTGCTGGACTCGTTTTCTCGTCTGGTTCGCCAGGCGTTTGTTGGACAAAAAGCAAGAAAGCGTGTTTATTTCCCAAACAGGGCGGTTATGCATCTGAGGTGATGGTACCAAACTGAGGTAAGCAGCGATGTGGGCGGATGGGGGAACAACGAGGCGACGATCAGTGATGACGATGTGCATTCGTCCATTCCGTGTGATCCCCAGGACAGCCGTGACTTTCTCACGATGCGATGCGTATGGTCAGAAAGGTGCCGACAACCTCGACCTATGCAGCAGACAGTCGAACAGTATGCAAGTGCTCTGCTCTGCCTTGTTGGTGGTATTGGTCGAGTTTGCTCATCAGCAGAGCTCTAAGCAGGCCCATGACTAGCTTCAGCGAACCGAGACAAGTGACGAATGGCGGAAACCTCAAGCGCCAGCTAGCGAGTAGTTTTTGGTTTAACGAGAGTTTCGTTTGCGAAATCGGGCCTGGATTCGGTGAGGCAAGAGGGACAAGAAACCCGGCCAACCAATGCCGTTGTAGCTTGTAGGTATTTTGGCGGAAATCTCGCCCGTCAGCCGCCGTCGGCTAAAGTCACGTCGAGTTGGAAACATTCCAAAACATGAATGTCACTGAGTGGTTGATGGGACAGTGACGCGATGGCCATAACCAGATCTAAGTTAATCCACGGATGCGGAATGGCCGTCGCTGAGCGACTTTGACCTTCGCTGCCCTGTGCCCGGGAACGGCACTGAACGCCCGGTAATCCGTGGGTAGAGGTAGAAGTGCCGGCATGATGGTGGGGGATGGGGACCGTCCACTCCTTGGCTTCGCTATGAAGGGAACAGCTCAGCTGGTGGTCAGGCAATATTGCTGTGTATGTGGTGGTCCGCAAAGACAGAGTCTGTACGCGCGTTGCATAATAAAGCAACTTGTGCAGAACCAAGCCCGTTCGAACGTAGTGATGATCGAGCTCAGTAGAGATGTAGATGTAGAGGAACGCAGGAATGGTCAAGACAGGAGGTGTGGCTTTGACGGGTGCGCAGGGACTCTCTAGCGGTGCGTTTCCCGAACTTGCGGTTTGCCAGGTGACGTGGACGGGACGTTGTATTTTCGACCATCCCTTCAGGTTGAAGCCGAAAACGGGCAACGGATGCGCCGATTCGCGTTGTATGGAGGGAATTGTATAGAGGAGCTTCAGGTCGAGACGGAGGAGCCATGAGCGCTTGGCTCGGTAAAGGCCCGGCACTGGCGCTGACGTGTGCAAAGCATGTATCGAAAAGCCCCGAGGGCCGCGGCAACATTACGGCAACAAATGAGTGCTCATGACGGATCGTGAAGATGCGCAGTTGCATTGTAATGGGAAAATAAGATCCCGTCTCGACGCAACGTGAGTTGGTGAGATGGATTGGAGGGTGCGATGCGGTGTCACAGATGGAGAGAATGCGCAAGTGGCACGGGATAATAAAGTGGGATAATTGGAAGGCACGACGGGCACATGGCCGAGGCAAGGAGCACGGGCGGGAACAGCTCATGATCGGCAAGAACCAAGCAAACCCAGAAATGAGGCAGGAGCTGGCGCAGCCAATGTACCTTTTTGTACGGATAGAGCTGAGCTGACTACCTACCTAGGGACGACGGGCAGGAGCTGAGGTTGCAGCAACGTGAGCAGGAAGGAGAGACATGAGGTAAGGTAGCCTAGGTTCTTGCCTTCGATGGTGGTTGTTCATAGAGCTGCAGGTGCAGGTCACGGTGAACAGGGCACGAGATGCGCTTCCCTTTCCTTTTTCCATCTGTCCAAGAGGCACCACTAACCAACCAGTACGTACTTCGTACAGCGCACCTATACCTTACAGAAGGAACGAATAGATATGAGGCAGGTACGAATGGGCACAATTAGGTTAGAAGAGAATAGGCAATAGCTCTTGAGGTAAGGTACCTAACCTCAGGTACACCAGAGCCGGCCCTCAACGCTTTGAACACCAACCAGACTTCCTCATACACCTGGTAGGCTGGTTCGCATAGCGCTCAGCCTTCCGCCCATCAGTAGGTAGCATCTCGGGATCGTATTGATGATCGGCTTGGCAGACTTTCATCTTGGTCGCTGAAGTGCTTCACCTGAAAATGGTAAAGAAAGACCCAGCTCCGAAGAGACGAGATGTGCCTATAGTTGCTCCTTGCTTGTTGCACGGGGCAGCCGCTTGCATTGGACGCACTTGCCTACCGTTCTTGGGGTTCTCATGCCCTCCTTCCCTGCCATGATCTGCCGCCATCACCCGGCATTTTAAACTTGAGCGAGCGTCTTAACCACCATTACTATCGCTATTACTGCTCTCTTCGCTGCATTCATTGTTACATCATATCATGTACTGAGCGTACCTTTCAAAGCCCAGGGACACAGTAATATGGCGAACAAGAATAAGAAGCAGAGCCTTATTTCATCTTCCTGCCCGGCTCATGCTCTTGCCCTGTCCTTGTCATGTTAGGTACTTGCCTTGCAGTGGCTGGCCCGAGCGTCGCATCCGATGCCCCATGTGGAGCACGAGCCACGGGAAGAGATCGACCCCTGTCTGGTCTGTCCAATGAGGTGAGGAACAATGACGGATGCTGTTCGCTTGCTGAAATGACGGGGGTACCTTGGCTACGTACCTCGAGACACCCATGAGTAAGCCAAGGTACTTCGTACGCTCCTCAGCTCCTACTCACCGACTCCGAACTTCATCCAAGGGACTGTTGTCTCCCTCTTCCTCACCACCTTGCAGACAACTAATTTTCTCCGATTTCTTTTGGACAATCGGCGGCCTATCCATAATTCCTTCGAGGCATCTGATCTCGCTGATCCGAGTCATCTTGAAGCACTTCACGATCTCCAAGAGCGGTGAAACACCGCCGTTTCCGCGCCTCGCTGGCAGCAGCAACAACTGACCAAGGACGGCACCGACGGCCATCTTCATCTCTGACGGCAACTTGGCCGGCGTACCTAGCTCAAGCGAAGCGTATCTACTGTACGTTATCCGAAGCGTCAATCCAAAGTGCACATATCCATACATGACATCCTGGCAAGCTGGGTAGGGTATCAACTACCCGTCCACCCCATCCTCGTCGTTGGTATGGCTACCGATCCGAGACGCTAGGCACCATCCCCTGTGTTCCCCCTTCTGGGTTCTTGTGTTTTGGGAACAGGTCTACGTCCGTATTTTTCTTTTTCGATGGGACAACCAGCACCACATTCCTCCCTCTCCAAACTTTGTAGCCGACAGCGACAGAGACATGACCCCCATTTCCGTCGCCCATTGGATCAAATGTGGGCTGGTTCGTCCTTCCAGCCCAGTTCGCAATCTCTTGTGAGTTGCAGATGCAGACAGTGTGTTGAGCCGAGAACACAAGCGCGAGACAGGTCTCGGCGCCATTGGGGTTATCTTGGTTCTCTTCACGCCGACACAATCTCCCTACCTAGCTAGGTACCTACTTTCTCGCATTTTGCAGTGTGCGTCCTAACACAATAGGAACAGGCTCTACAGTCCCATGATGGCTTGCTGCTATCGAGATTGAATCTACGGAAACCGCACCATGAGACGGGTATGTTCAGCGCCATCTGGATATCGTGCCTCAGTAGGGTCATTACATGCAACGCTACTCAGTATGCTTTCGTCACCCGCACACCATCACCGAAGAAATGCAGACCACTCTCGCTCACGTCGGTCATCCTGTGGACCAACAATCCAAAAAAGCTCTGACCCCGTCTGTTAGCCTTTGCTCTTTCAAACCGCCTGCGGTCGCCTGCGGTAGCTTGCAGTATGTGCCTAGAATACGAAGACAAATTTACCCTCTTTTGGCTCTAGGTCCGACTTTTGAAATCCTTTGGACGAAAAGCAAAGCCTTTGGTGTCTGTCCTTCAGGTGTCAATTGTCAATTGCGCAACACGCGTCGGAAAAGGAACAGACACCTCTCATGTGCCGCTCTCCGCCTCCACGCAGCGTCGTGGCAGACCGTCGCCCTGACCCTGAGCCTAGGTATTCCCAATCCCGGTTCAGCTGGTGCCACATTCGGGCGTTTACCACCACGCAAGCACCTGAACCGGGCTCATTCTTCCCGCAGTCCTTGCTCAAACGGGGTAATTTGGTTGCCCGCCGACCCTTGTCTAACGCTGAAATCGCCATCTGCCGAGCATCGTCCAGATCTTGCTTGCGCAACATTCCCATGATTGGCTGATCGCGTCGATTATTCCCACTCGAGCCGTGCCATCCTGGTCGGCGATGGAAAGCTTAACCTTCATTCCGGGACTTGGACCATTGTTGTCGGTGAGCCAGGTTGGGCTGTCCCTGCCAGTCAACCAACACACAACCCGCTCCAAGCAGTCAGGCGCACATATTTGGGCTCTCCTCAACCAACTTACTACCCAGCAGGACACTATTCGTCATTCATGCGCTTCCTAAGTATCCATCTCGGCTACCTTTCGACCCCGAGGTCTTGTAATCCTGCGGAGGTTGGGGAAACTGTAAATATCCTATAACTATCCCAGTCCTGACCCAGAGCATCTTAGTCGACGTGGCGCCTGACTACTTTATCCTAGCGCTCCTATCGGTTCTGTGGGGGATCATTCGTCCGAATTCAATGTTGTCATCACGTCCTTCACATACGCGGATAATTACTCTTCCTCTATTTCCATCTTCCCTGGCTGTGCTCGACGCCCCTCCAAGGTTAGCGTTACGAAAGACCGAAACCGATATTCTGCACGGCGAATACGTTTGCGAACGGACATTATGGGCAGCTCCATTTCGGGGTAGCTTGGAAGGTCTAGTCCGCGTTCGCCGTTCAGCCACTTAGAGGGCAAAGCCGGTAAGCATGTCGGGTCTTTGACCTGTTGCAACCTGCAAGCTCTCTGAGTTCGTTTGAGAAAACCGTTACCCTCTCGCAACCATCTAAACTTTCAGATGACGGCCCTATTCATACCTCGGAGGGTTCTGGCAGGACCTCCTACAACACCTGAGCACACTTGAGTTGAGCAACCTAGGTTATCCCGTAGTCCCGAGGCGACTCAACTTTCCGAGTTCAAAATCGAGGCTCGGATACGTGCGACCAAACTTGAAGATCAATGAATACAGTCTGGCTAATGCCCAAGATCATGCGCCACCTCTGCTCAAACAGCACGCATCCTGGTCTTGGCATTTTAATGCTTTACTTGCCAACCTCACCAAATCCCTTCCATGCAGCCTTTAGAAGCTATGTAGGCAGACTCAACTTGCACAAACTCTTGCCAGCAAGAAACATCTTCACACGGGTGTTTCAATCAACCTCTACTGTCTTTCCGACTCGGGTATTGCTTACTTCGTATGTAGGCGATCGCCGATATTCTCCTTGTCGCAACTTGACCTCGTACCGTGCCGTCATCTACGAGCAGAAAGAAATTTTGCGTTCTCGCTGCTTTGAAGGAGGCAGAAATCCGATCTTGAAAGCTTCGTTAGACATTCCTCAAAGGGTAATGTTGATACAACACCCGTAGGACGAGATGTCTCTCTGCCGTCAAAGAGTAATTGGCGCGAACGTTGTTTGTGCTTGGCATGAGTCCGGTTACGTACAATGACCAGTCGCGCGCCTATCGTTACCCGCGTTCTATCAGACGAACTTCAACTCGCCGCCCCGATTTGCCGAGTCGAAACTATGCATCCAATACTACCCGGGACATCTACCGTTTCACAAAGAACCCAGCACTCAAATCATCTTATAACTGGGCTCATTGTGGGGGAGCTATGGCAACGCCATGGCCACACTCATGACCATGGAGATCATCAGATGACCGGTCACTGCCTCGTTTACCTTTTTTTTTGTCGTTTTTAATGCCCCCCACGGAGAAATCTAATGAGTTCAGGATGGTCCTCTGAGGACAACGCCTTTTGCGAACGGCTTCCGTAGACCGGGCTTGGGCCAACCCAGCCCTATGAATGGAGACATCGACAGAACAGGGAAACCCCTGTGTCCAAGACTACCTTCGAGGACGGAATGAGTCACAGACCTGTCGTTCGTGATGTCACTCCTTTTCACAGCTGCTTCCGTTACCCGAATTAACCGAAGCCGAAGGGCACGTCCGACGGAGTCGAGTCCGAACGGGGAAACTATCTTTGTAAGTGTTGCACGATAGCTACCAAGATGCCGAGCCATGATTTTCTTTTTCCCGCGGAACAGATTGGGCCCGGCATAGTTGTGTAAGTAATCAGCCTTA